TGATTCCCGTACCGTGTGATTTCACCCTTACATTCTGATCCGGATTAAATCCTCGGTGGAAACTAGGCCACAGTTACAGAATCGCGCCCCAGAAATGATTGATCGATCAACGTCAAATCGATGCTGATTCAACGTCGCTCGACGTCAAATCGATGTTAATTCAATCGACGTTAATTCGATTGATTATTGATCGATCAATCACTTGTAGCTGGGAATGTAATAAAAAGGAGCCTCTACTGTTACTGGCATTAGACCACGCATAACTGTTTACACGTCTATCGACAGTTATCGGTATTGTTGTGCAGCTTTTTCATATAAAGTATCTGCGCAACGACACCGAGAACTGTCAGTAGGCATGTAAAGATAGTTATGGAATCGCGCCCCTGGCATCTCTGAAGATCGATTCTGTATTTTAAAACGAGGTAAAAATTACAAAGGTGAGCGAATTTATTAGAATACTGATAATTTCATTGGTCAACACCTAGTAAATTTGCTCACTTTTGTAATTTTCACTTCGTTTCAAGATACAGAATCGATATTTTTGTTTAAAGATACAGAATCGACTCCCTGGGCGGAATGCGAAACTCCAAGGAGTTCCAGCGAAGGATCTATTGTAGTATGGTCCACCTCACCACGTCAAGGTGGCACACCATGATGGGAGATTGCTAAAATTAAAATAATTTAATAGAAAGTTACTAGTCAATTCTGCTGAACAGCAAATGCGATTGGTCAGTTTCAATGTAACAATCAAATCGATTTAAATTATCGGAGTTGATGAGTCGAATCTTCCATAATTCAATTTTTTATATGTTCTAACCTAATATTCGATTACGAAAAGTTATTTAAATATGTTATATTTTCAATGTACAGAAAATGTTTTTAAAATTTAGTACAAGTTTAAAAAAATTTTTTATAAAATAACAAATAAAAAATTAAACAATTTATAGGAAAAAGAGGAAGTAAAGAAGATGAAAACTGTGGCTCAAGAGAGAAAATACTCTCCACTTAAAGAAGAAATTATCTACTTTTGGTATGTTTGATCAGCTTAATTTAACTTAATTGATTTAAATTATATTAATAAACATTTTTTTTCTGTGGAGACGACAATGAAGAACGTTCGCAGCTGTCACAATTTCAAAAATAAGTAATATGGAAAATAGAATATCCAATATATACGTATGTTGCGATACAAGAAATTATGATTTCCGTCATTATTTTTATTATTAATCAATTATAAATACAATACAAACATGCCTTCAAAATATGGATTTTTATTGCTGCTTGTTTGCATAGGATGTGTTTTGTTATTTATTGCATTCATGGAGAAAAGTTTATGGTCAAAGGGAGAAATTCCGAAAATAAATCTAATACAGCTTGAAACAATATATGAAGTAACTGATACATCATCAAAAATTTCTAGAATCATAATTGAACCATCATGCAATGCTACTTTTGTGATATGGATTGTCACATCTTATGCGGGTGAGCCTTCAGCAAGGAGTGCTTTACGGCGAGCTTATACAGATGAAGAATTGCAGGTTTTAGGAATCAGAAGAGTATTTTTACTTGGTACATTAAATGATTATGCCGAAAAGAAGACACATATGCTGCAAAATGCATTGTTGGACGAGTCACGACGATTCAATGACTTACTTCAGGGAGATTTTTTAGACACTTATAGAAATTTAACTCGCAAGCACTTGATGGGTCTTCAATGGGCAGCAAATAATTGCAAAGATGTTAAATATATTATGAAAATGGACGATGATATTATTGTAAATATATATGGCATATTAGAGAAATTACACTCAGGTATGATAGAAAAGAATTCTTTGACTGGTTATATTATGAAAGATATGATTCCTGTTCGAGAACCAGCCAATAAATGGTATGTGAGTAAGGCGGAATATATAAATAATATTTATCCCGACTTTGTCTCTGGCTGGCTATACATCACGCATCCGCAAATAGCAAGTCGACTGATTAATTACGCCGTGTCTTCCCATGAATACTTTTGGATAGACGATGTATTTGTCACTGGTATCCTCAGACAAGCTCTAAACATAAAAATTCAAAATATCAGTGAGTTGTTTACGACAGATTATAGATATTTGGAATGTTGTATAAAGGGAAAAGCGAATCTACTGAAATGCGAATTCTTGGCTGGTCCTAATGGCGGCGATACCGAGTTACAAGTGAGATTCAAGGAATTTGCAAAATTTTGCCATGCAAATTGTTCCATCCGCAAGGAGAGTAATCTTGTTGGTAAGACCTGCGTAGTGGCGTACAAGGAGCCAAAATTATATAAAGGTGCTGTGCAAATAAATCCAGTCAGAATTTTATAAAGAAATAATGGAGGAAAGGGTAGGTAGAATGAGATTAACAACATTTTAATAAATTATATATTATTTTATTACCAAGAAAACATTTTCTATTTATTATAATATATAAAATTTGTACAGTATATTTTACACGTTATTATATAAAGTTTTACAGAATTGTAGTTATTTATTTTATCTATCTTTTTATGCGTCAATAAATTCTTATGATAGTTACTATATCACAGTCCTATATATATGTGATATACAGTTTCTCTAACGTAAAATGAAGTTAACCCAAATTATTAAGTTAATATTTTCTTAACACAAAAATAATATATTTGGATGTTTTCAAAGATCTTATATACAGATCTTAATGATTGAAACATTTATCTTTTAGTTATCATCGAAAAAGTGAACCAAATTAAAAATAATTATTTATTATAGATAAAAAAATTAAAATTAAAATCTAAAAAAGCAAATTACATTTCTATAGGTTTTTTGAATGTATTACATACAAAAAATACTACAGATCATAGCAAATTTGCAATTTTCACAAATGAAAATAAAGTTATTATATAATTTTATTTACTTTAGATAATTGGAAGTACAGATGATATCTTCCGATTCTATCAACAAAAATATTTTATTAGGTGTTGGAATTAATTCGTAGCGTTTTTAATGAAAGAATGTTATTTATTTCACATGAGCATTAAAAAATACATTAATGAAAGTACTTCCCATCACTTGTAAAACGCTACGAATTAATTCCAACACCTAATAACATAATTACAGCCTTGGCCAAAAAAATCAAATTGATATAAATATTCTATACCATATTTTTCTAAACGAAAAATAAATTTAAAAAATTTTATTAAGAAATAAAATTTTATCATTTTAATTATAATGGAAAGAAGCCTGAGACCGGCCATGCCTGGGATTTAGCTGTTACTTTATTTTAAAGCGGCTCTATGTCCACAAAAATTATAAGTAATTGTTATAAAAATTATATTTATTTTATAACAATTTTAGCATTTCGTTTTCCTTCAGATATTATTTTATTATCGTTTTTTCCAAGAAAATAAAAAATTAAACATGCTTATATTTATGGCTAACGCTGTAGATCTTCTATTAAAATATTTAATTTTAATACATCGAGAAGAAAATATATATGAGAAGCTGTTATCTAATTTTAAAGTAGAGATTTTTTTTTCGGTAACTGAAAAGTTGCACCTATGCATAAATGATCACTACCTACTACAAAATTTGGTATTCGGGGTAGTTCGGTACATTGACTTATTGTAGGTAGAGCATATTTCTCTAAAGGCTGGATGTTACTGTAGAATATATAATCCACTGTGATCCACTCCTCCTGATGCGTCGTTGCTTCTTTCTCACCATGGGCGCCTACATGTGTATAAATGCTATGCATGTCAAAGGGATGTGTTAGAGTACCGGACGAGAATCTCGCGGAATGGCCCTTCACAATTTCGATAATTTGCGTGCAACCGGTATCACTGTTTGCGTTCTGTTGTAATACATTCGTATTACAAGGCGTAAGCATATTTTCATCTAGTTTTTGAAGGCGTGATTCGCTGTTTTCCAGCTGGAAGAAATGAATAAAGAAATATCTTAAAATATAATTAGAAAAAAAGATTAAGATTGGAAAAAAAAAATAAAAAATATGGAATGCATAATTAAAACTACACTGTTTTCGGAATCTTTTTTTCTTTTCGAAAAACTTTAGATATAAGCATGAATATTGATGGTATTCATCGAAATATATTAATCAAAATAAATTTTTAAAATTAAAATAAATAGGCGAAAATAAATTAAGATTTTATATACATTTTTATATACATATTAGGTGTTGGAATTAATTCGTAGCGTTTTACAAGTGATGGGAAGTACTTTCATTAATGTATTTTTTAATGCTCATGTGAAATAAATAACATTCTTTCATTAAAAACGCTACGAATTAATTCCAACACCTAATACATAATCCATACAGCACAGATCATTCTAGCAACATTTGCAACGTCCCAATAATGTTGCAGTAACATCATGATGTTGCTGCAAACTTCTGCGCTGTATAGGAATTGTTATATGTTCAAGAACGTACCATGACTTTACCGGTGCCTTCTCTTCGCAATCTTTGAGTCAGGATATTAAAGTGTTGACAGTTATCGGTAACGCATAATCGCGGTGGTATTAATGAATTAGACAGAGAACGATATCGAGACGGTTCTAAACTTCGTCCTTTCCCATAATACTTGAACGAACCTTTTGTTAGGAACTTATAAACGCCCGTGAATGGCTCCAAATTAAAGTCACCTGCGAGTATGATTGGCAAATACTTCGGGCCCGTTCTGCAAAGTAATGTTATAAATATTTAATATTCGCATAAAGATCTCTTATCATGATGAGCAAATAATTTTTCAAAGGCGTGCCCTCACGTTGTGTTTTCGATGAATGCAATCCGTTCTATTTCCGCTAACAAAAGCTGTATCTGCGCCAATCGTACGTCGTTACGTTTCGGATTATATAACAAATGAGTAGTAGCTATCACGATTTGCGCTTCCGGATTGTCTTTGAGGGCCAGTTTAGCGATTATACCGACGTTATCTCTATTTAGAATCTCGATTCCGGGTTGATATAACTCTACCTTTGCATAATCTGACAAAATAAAGTCATTGGAGCGATATAACAAAAGTAAACCATCCTTCTTGTCGTTGGTTCTTTTTTTATACAGATATTCATATCCATGCTGTTTGAATGGAGCCACGAAATCTAGCAGATGTTCCTCCTGCATTTCCTGAAGGCATATTATCTGAAATATTCGACAATATAATAGCAGATATTCTTTAAGCATTTAGTTTCAGGTTTGACAACATTAAATGCCGAAGAATAAATATGTACATTTGCCTCCGCCTCGAATATTTCTTGTATCACAAGGGATTTTCGTGTTTTCCAACTCAGGGCTTTCTTGTTATGATTCATGTATAGATACAAGTGATCTTCCAACAGATTTTGTGCCAAGATATTAAAGGATAAGAGTTTCAATATAAAAAAATCTTCCATATTATTGGATGGTCTACCTAAAAATGTTTGAAAAATTATGTTCTTTGGACGGAAAGAACAATTAAATAATAATAAGTGAATCTAGACAAATATATAAATATAAACAGAAATGTGCCCTATATAGTCAAGGTTAGATCTCTTAGGCCAGTATTCATAGTCAGTTCTAATGTTAAAGACCGTTTTAAGTTCTTGATGTGTCACAAACCAATATAAGAGAACCGTATTAACATCTTAAGACATTACTTAAGACAGTCTTAAACGAACTATGAATACCGATCTTAATATTTCTTATTTAATTTTTTTTTATAATACATTTTCCCATTCTACTGTGCTAAGTAAATCGTATTATATATTTATACATCCATTTGAAACTGTAATGTTTAAATAAGAAAGAGGTAAAGTGACTTTTACCTTTCTCAATTCGTTTCCATTTCCTTATAATCTTGTATCTTTTTTTGTCTATATAATTTCCATAAGTGTTAGCTGCACATACGTTAGCTTTAACATTATGTGTCGTATCCGCAAAACCAGTCTGACAATAGAGCAGTGTATTCCCTAGGTCGCACATTGTGTTAGTATTGCTTTGGTTGTAGCAGGTATCAATATAAGGTTCCATTTTAACTTCTGTACACTTCTGATGGGACGGAGAATTATCCATAGAGGCAACAAGTTCCAGGTAATTGGAGATCAAAGCTTTCCAGATAGGACTCTTACACAAATTTTCTAAGAGTAATTGTTGCCAAGTTGGCTCCAGTGTACAAAAGATCTGAAAAGGAATCATACAATGAACAAGATTATAAACATATTAGGCTAAACAAGCATGATCAACCTTCCAATGTATAATGCCAGTACTGAAAATCTAATATATATATAATGTGAACTGTAAGGTTTTAGTAGCACTAGCAGTGTATACTGAAACACAGTTCAAAAATAAGAAAAAAGGAAACTTAGAAGGTAAAAAAATTATTATTAACTGAACTTTGTAAAACCGCACATTTTCGACATTTCTAAACTATGCGTTTGCGATCGAGAGTATTTCTCCTCGAAAAAAGATCAGCGTTTCTAACCTAACAATAACTGTCGCGTCAAATAATAACGGCAGAGTTAAGGTCAACCGTGGGACTCTCGGCGAGGACGAGGGAGGGGGAGGGGAGGAGGGTAAGAGACGCGAGGGTCGCGTTTGTGCGGGAGATGCGCTTACCTTTCGCGATTGCAGAAACGTTGCCGTCCGCGTGTTACATGCTATGTTTAGCAGAGAAGCGGTGCTCGTCAGCAGCAGCCTCGGGGATACGTTCATTTATCAGCGCGGAATTTGATTTTTTTTTTCACGCTCCTAGCATAACTCACGCGTCGGGATTGTCGAGATCTGACACTGTTACCGTAGGCACTGCTTCGACGTGTACATACCGCGCGATGTAAAATACGTGATTCCTCAGGTACGAGGCCGCAAGGCCTGATCTTTCGCTCGTTCTCAATTCCGTCGTAGAAAAGACACGATCTGCTAAATCGCGGGCCAAAGAAGGGTCGTGGGACCAGATCGGTGCAGATCAGTCTCGTTTCAAATCAATCGTTGACCCTGATGAAACGAATTTAGTTCTCCATCGCATGTATATAATATACACATATACATGTAGGAAGGTGGAGGGGAATACGAACGTGATTATTTAACCGAGACCCATATTCGTTGATATTCGTATTCTGTATATTTAGTTGGGCATGAATGCTAATCATAGGGTCCATAAATCTTGCTGAACTTCTTGCACGGTTTATATTTTTCTTTTTCTCTTTAACGAAAGAAAAGGGAGAAAAATGAACCGTGCAAGAACTTTAGCTAAAAAGAACAGACCTTGTGTAATACGAATGCTGTGTGCGTGTCGCGCGCGAAAAGTCGAAATCAGCGATAATCATGTTTCACGAGCAAATTCAAGAATGAATGGGAGCGGTAATTAATTAAACCCGAAACACAAATTGATCATAGTTGAACGTGAGAAGAATAATGATTATAATTGATCAATTTTTAAGATATTATTATATCTTATATTTATTGTGTATCAGGACTTAAAGAAGGAATTAAAAATGATATTAGTAAGTTAATTAAGAAATTTCGCTTATTTATCCTTTTCCTCATACGACGACGATGATGATAAAATAATATCTCAACTAAATATTATGCCTACAAGAGCCGAATACAGGATGTTCACGTGAACATCGAACACGCGAACATCCTGTGTTTGGTTCTCATAGGCATAATATTTAATTGATTTATTCTTTGGAACCTGTTTTTGAATTATTTTTATTGTAAAATAATATCTATAAGATGGATGTGTAAATTAGAGTACAGATAAGATAATAATGAAGTAATGAAGTAATATTAATTAAATGATAATTAAATGATTAAGGAATATTTTAGAGGTGTGTGTAATTAAAAAATAATTAACTATCTAATAAAAATAACTTGATTAAGTTAATCAAGTTTACTTGAAGTCATTCAAACGTATTTCTACCAATGTATTGTAGATTAACTTAATCAACAATGTGTAGATAAACTTAATTAACAATAATTAATATATCAAATAATTGTAGTATTTTGCGAACGTGAATAGAATTTGTTAATTTTTTATTGTTTAACATATAGGAAAAAAATTAGATTAAGGATAACGAATTATTAGTTGAGTTGGCGATTAACACTCTACTTTGGTCGAAATAATTCTAATGTTCATTTCTATAAAAGATTAGATCTTAATTTCGATAACTTTAAACTCGGTTTAAGTTATTTTTTCTAGTTTTAAAAATTAGAAAGAGTATAGTGAAGAGTATAGTGAATCGAGATTAAAGTTGTTCCTTCAAGGAACAACTTTTCATTGATATTAAAATCTGTAACACTGCAATTACTATAACACTCACTATATTTAATTTATGTTGATTAAAGAACATTAATTAATTTTTCAAGGAATGACATATATCTCGTACAATAAAAAAGAATATAAATATTAAGTTTATTTTAATAATAATAATTCAAATTTGTAGATATGACATAAAGAATATAATTGAGTTCAACAGGTTTACCATTAGCTCCGGAAGATTAATCTACATTAATATTTAGAAATGGATATAAGAAGCGCAATAAAGATAGCGAGAAAAGAACGAAACCTACTGTTAAGATATCACTATCACTTTTAAAGATATGCTTTACGGCGAGTAGAAAACTAAAGAATCGTTGTCTCGGATGATCCTCGTGGCTTCTGGAACGAGCTTTCAACGACAAGTGACAATAATCTCTTTTATCTTCTCAAGAAAAGATATTGGATTCTGTAAGCTGGGTTTTGAATAAAGTACGGTCTCTATTTATTTTAACGTAACGGACATAGGTGAGTGGCAGTTGAACACGTGTATTTTCAACAACGAATTGGTAATGCTCAATATTAATGCTTTGTGCTTCCTCGCGATGCTCGCCGACGATAACACGTTACTGAAATCCTTTTCTTTCCCTCTTTCCTTCTCTTTTATGGAAATATACTTATATTCTTGCTCGCTTCGGGAATATCGACAATATAATCTAGCGACAAGAGCGTGTCGCATCAGTAATGAGAAACTTACAATAGATGTTAATATGGATATTTATATTGTCGGGGGTTTATAGACATGTAAAATATTTCTTCATAGTATACGATACAAGTAAATTTTTAGATTAGCTGCCCTTCTCCGATTTTTTTAAAACTTCGTTCTTTACATACATTTTTTATAGCTAAATACAAATTTGGAAGAATTTTTTGGCGATCGAACATATTTAGACCGCCATCTTGAAAATTATATATCGATAAAAAAAACTTTTTATCGATATTTCCTAAAATATTAATTATACCAACAAAGTGTCGAAGAACAATGAACAGCTTTTAAGCGCTATGCAATGCTGCTTTAGATGCATTCTGTTTCACGTATGATGCGCAGGATGCATCATTTTATCTTTCTTTAATTTTATTAAAGCGAATAATAAGAATAAAATGATATATTATGCGTGAAATAAATCGCATCTTTTGATTATGGCAGAGTGGGAATCAAATGCCAGCTTTCCATAAAATTGCATCTATTCACAAAAAAAACTCGTAATATTTTCTACAAGAAAGGTTCTATACATAATAGATGTGTATATGCAATACTTCAGTCGCCATATTAAAAAAAAATTGGTTCATTATTTTAATAATAATAATTCAAATTTGTAGATATGATATAAAGAATATAATTGAGTATTTATTAAGTTAATTGCTATCTCATCTTCGATTTTGAAATTAGATTCATTCGATAGATTTATGGATTTACAACTTTCCATGCGAAGCGCAATTCCACATATAAATTTTCAATTTTCCATACAAAGTGAGATTTAATTTGAAAATAAATTAAATTTGTTTTTACAGAGCGGAATTCTTCGGACACACATGTACCTTGCGATTGCGGAAAGTCCTTTTTCTCTCTCCTTCTTCTCTTCCTTCACAATAAATATATCATTTATTCTAAAAATTCCAAAAAAATGATTAGTAAGTTGAACCGAAATTAAAATTAATCATTGATAAAATGGACCTAAGAGAAAAAATTTATCGAAAAAATATATTAAGATACGATTCAATAAATTTTAGTATAAATTAAAATTTTCGAGTTTTCAAAAGACTTCGAATAATCGACTAGAAATATTGAATGTCTAGAATATCTATAAATATATAGATCAGTGTGATAAAAAAAAATATAAATTGTGAGATTAATATTAAGATATAATAAAACAAATAAATATACTTTATAAGAACTCTCAATCTTTAAAAATAACAATAAATTAATTCAAGGCTAATAAGAGTCAGTGCGGGAGGGGGTGCGCAAGTTATTAATTTGGAATGATTAACTTAACTTCAATTGTTCTGTGATGTCTTCTTTCTTCATAAATCTTTATTTTATCACATAAATCTCTCTCTCAAGATTTATGAAGAAAGAAGACATCGCAGAATTGAACTCAATTTATCACGTATTCTCGTCATGTGACATAATTTTATCTGAAATCATCGAATTCCTTATTCAAAAACTGTAGCAAGCAGTAATAATTTCACTTTTTACAAGCATAGCAAAAACTTTTCGTAACACCCTTTTTGCACACGTTTAAAATTGGATATAAAATACAAAATAGGTACGATAAATACGGAATGTATAAAAAGTAGAAGTAACTTAAGTAGTGACACACATTCGCTTTATTTAAAAACAGCATTTGAAAGGCACTATGTACATATTATATACACGCAAATTGTGTGTCTCTCTTTTATGGTAGAATAATATGTAGAATGTTTGACCATGTGGAACTATAGCAACAATTTGCCATCTATGCACATGCAATGTGTATAGATAGCAAATTGTTGTATACAGTTCATTATATCGCATTACTGGATGATGTCCCGATAAATATCAGAAACGCGATATCAAGGAATATCAGAAAACGTCGCAATGCAACGATATATATAAAAATCGAATGTTATGTACATCATTGGCATCTTTTAACAAGTAGACATTAGCATCGGAGATAAATCTGTTTGTACTAAATTTACTAAGATAATTGCAGTTTTTGTGCATCGAGATATGTCAAGAGATACAGTTTCCCTGTTTCACTTGATTCTATAGAAGATATGCCACCGTAAGAATACATTCGTGTAATCTCATTGTTTTCTATAGTTACTGAATTGCACTTTGATTAATTTTATACGATAGGTTTATTTTTTATTTCTATACAAGAACTCTCTTTTTCACTTTCGTCAAATGTCAAACATATACCTATCTCACATTAGGTTTCAAAGTATAGTTCAGTCATAGAAAACAGATCTAATGATTGAACCAATTTTATCGTTGCGTCATTGCAATCAAATGCGTTAATTGTAAATATTCGGATTTTAATCTTCCAAGAAATTAACAAGATTAAAATTCGGATACAATGGATTATAAAAAAATTGAATATACTTAGAAATAAAATTACAATTAGATATTTTAAAGAATTGTCCCAAATATGTGGCGATATGTTTTTCATAAGATGTGATATTTTCAGATAAAAATATATTATACTTATACATAAAAGTATACAGCAAATACTGCTTTCCTTTAAATTGTAATAGAGATGTTTGAATAGACAATTGTACGATTAGGCAATTGTGCAGTGAGCGTCAGTAATTATGTTTCATTAAATCCAAAGTTTTTATATAAAAAACGTGAAAACATATTATTTTTACATGTTCCTTTTTCTTTAATTGCATGTTTCCTGCTTTGTCTTTTTAATTAGAAATTTAGAATAAAAACTCAACTAACAATAATAGAACAATAAAAGTCAAAGTCCATTTTGGAGAACATTGAATGCGGCTCCCAATGCCCAACTTAATTCATGGCCATTGATCCTCTTATAAAGCTACAAAAATGAAGAATATTTTGTTACCCCTAAAAACATTGTCGTAAAAAAAAAATAATATCACCATATTATATAACTTTGCTTACATGCAGCTTAGTCGACGGTTCCAAGCCAAATCCATCTCTTAGCAGAACATAAATAAATGTCAAATCCAAGCACATGAACGGTTGATCTGTGTTTGGATAGTCGCACGTCTCCGTGGCTTGTTTAAAAAATGAATTCAATTGCACCATTCCGCCCGAAAATGGATCTATTAATGCTACCTAAAAAATTAAGAATACAAATATTACAATATTTATATTTGCAGATACAAATATTATATTTATATAACATTACTTTAACATTACTTATTATTTATTATATTTATATTAAAGAGCTATACTTTTTTCTTAATATATAAATTATAAACTATGACAAATATGAGAAATATGTATTTCTCATATTTATGAAGTTCGTTAATTTACATGTTAAGGAAAAAGTATAGATATAATAAAAAATTTTATTAAATATTTACTCATTAATATATTAATATTTATTTCACTTCATAATTTTTTGAATCTTTACCTCAGTCGCACGTTCAAAATAGTACGAAAAAGCATATACTTCGTGATCCTTCAAACCTATTGGTTTTTCTGTGAGAGTACCAATATATTTCTCAATAATCTTTAAACATTCCGCAAAGCGTACTATCGGTTTGTTCTCATCTCCGCCAGCAAAATTTTGTGTTTTAACTAATTTATATGTGCCATTTGTTGGACCTTTTACAATGTAATTGCGCCCTTGGTAAGACCATTCGGTAGATACGATCGGATTGATGCACTCGGAATGTATCTCTATGGGAACTTTGAGACTTGTATCCTCAAGATTCATATCATAGGTCAAAATCGCCTTTCTGGCAGCCATTAGACCCATGCCTAAGTAACTATGCGTGTACAGACTCATGTTGTGATTGAATACATTGATGGAGTAAACATGTTTTTCTAATTTTTTCGCCTGGACGCCATCCGGTTGAAACGTAACTTGCGTAGAACCACCGCCGAGATCCAACGCGGCCACGGTAGTTTGAGAGCTGAGTGAGTTAAAACGGTCCAGTAAGAAATTGACGGTAAACCAGGAGAAGATTCCCTCGTCTGTGCCTTCCATTATGGAGATAGAATTTCTCGCGATCTGGAATCCGGACGTTTGGAACAACTTTCTGCACTCCTCTAGTATGCCATTGGCTTTATGCTCCGGCAACAACCTCAGCCCTGCCGTGGCCTTCATCGTCAGCAATGTACGAGGCCATTCCGACTGTGGAATCACCGCCTTCGCCTCGTTCAGAAGTGTAGTTAGAGACTTTGCAGCATCCTCCGGTTTGTCGGCAAATGAGCTTAAGCCAGGTTTTATTTCTTTGAATAGTTCATTATCAAGCACTAAATTGCCATTGAGAATGGACTCGTGAAAGCTAAACGCTAATACGCGGCTACCAGTAGATCCAGCGTCGATCACAACCACGTAGAACGGTTTTTGTAAATTAAATGAAAGTGCTAGGGTATCAATAGCCTTACTGCCTATTCTGATGGGTTTTAAGTCATTCGCTATGGCTATATAACCTAGGAACAATGTACCAAGTACTAGTAGCATGGTGAAGTATTTCTTTCCAGGCTGACTGGTAGTTTTCTTCTGGTAGGATGCCAATTCATTATCGCGCTCCTCTTCATTTTCAGTTCTCAGCTAAAAATACAAGACAATTATTGCAAGAAAAATCTAAATTTACAGCACATTGCATTTTAATGAATTATAGGTGACAAGATTAAAAGTGACAAGATTAAAAGTGACGTAATGTTATATTGTGTTACATAACACTACATTGTATTTTGCTTTTGGTTATCGATTGAGATGTTTGTATATATTGTATCACATGCAATACCCTTTCATAAATACTTTGAATAATAAAATATCTATTCAAATAGAACACAAATCATCAACCTCAAAATGATCACTAAAAGTCACTTTTCAATCGTTTATAATTCGTTTTGACGTTCAAGTATATATTGTTTTTAGGAAACTGCAGTATTTTAAAGAAATACACATATCATATACATATTATGCAAATCATATTACAACAAATTCAGAATAGTTACAAATGTATGTACTAATGTAACACTTCCTTCCATCTCTAATTATGAATTTTTGGGATTTCTTTTCTACCAAGAGTGACTTTGATTAAACTCGACTAATTTAATTTAGTTTGAATTGCTCGCAGCGAAATTTCTATAATTATACAATTTGTTTTTTCTTAATTTTCCTTCTACAACATGTCAACAAAAAATAATTTCCTCATTAATAAAAGCACAAGTTTAGTTTGATAAGAATGACTTTGATCAAACTTCTGTCACTTCACTTTTACCAATTCAACCAACACAATTGTAATCACAATAAAATTTTCCTACAAAGAATCAAAAAATAAATAAATATTGCCACTTTAATGTAACTCATCATTTTTAATCTTTCCTTTTACGTGTTGAATAACAAAAAATCATCGTCTCATTCTCATTAATAAGTATCACAGGTTTTACCCGGAACAACGCTAATCGTCAATCAAATCAACTAAGAATTTATTCAAGGTCACCCTGGGTCAACCGTCGTTCGGGTTAATTTGTCGGTTAATTTGTGAGGTCATGACGTAGAGGGACAGACAATGTTAACCTAGTCTGTTAAACTAGCATATCACGACAGGCATAAGGAGGATGTATTTCACGTGAGGAGACTCTTTTTGCATCGTTTCTACTCACGAGCGTGTATCGCATCTAGGGCGACCCGTACGATCCGTCGGGTGACGAGTGCTTGTCATGTAAAAAAATAAATAAATAAAACACGGAGTGTTGGAGTTGGTGGGTGCGCGACGGCCGGGTGGGGAAGTGCCGATGTGGCTACCGCGTGGCGATGACGCGTGCAGCTGTGCATCAACGTGCATCGTGCCCTCGGACTCGAACGCAATTTCCATTGCGCACTCGTCGCAGGTACGTACGTTTGGCGCTCACAGCCAAAACTTTATAAACGTAATTTGTCCTTGTTTAACCTTTAAGTAGATAAGTATACTCAAAATACTCCACACAAATTTTGTTTTTATAATATTTTTTAACATTCACAGTCAAATTTACATTATATTGATATTTTTACGAGACAAAGGAATGCAAACGTAATTAATGCCACTTCTGGATGATTCTTTTTATTCTCCTTTTCTAGAATAAGATTTTTAAACTAATTAATATACGTAGAGTGATGTAACGACCTATTTAGTTAACATTTGATAAAACAAAGATTGTTTAATTACGACACAAATATCTGTCTTAGCGTTTCAGTGAGTAACAATAATAGAACGACACTCGAGTCACTCAATTTGTATCAAATGGAAAGTACTCAAGAATAAAATAATTTTCAGAGCGCTGAATAGTAAATAGAGCGCAGCCCGGGTGTCAATGGGTGTCAAGGAACGATCACGTGACGAGGCGCGAGCCACATGGGACGCAAGAGGCATGGATTCGAAATTCGAATTCTAATCATCTTGCAACGTATTTATATACATGCTCGCACACATGCACTGTTACGATTCACTGAGTACGTTCGGTTTTATCTATGATGCGCATGAATGTATCATTTTATCCTTCTTTAATATTCCGTGAACAACAAGGATGGAGTTATACGTAAACATCATGGGTGAAACACAGAACGCACTCACGGAAGACGTGGAAGGCACGGCAACGCGCTTCCATGTTCGACGCTCGTTCCGACGAATGTTCGAGACGAACGGCGTAGATCAACACCGATAAATTCGCTTACGCACCTTTCGACGTCTTACGCTCATGTTTTATTCGGCGGACGACACGACGGTAGACTACGACGATGACGATGACAGGATAAAAAGACGATTGACTCGGACAAAGAATCGGAAATCGTCACGCGAGACTTATAGAGCAGTCATAGCGCGGAAGCAGACAGAGCAGACTGCCGGGAACGAATTGAGCGGCGTGCGGCTCACCGGCAGGCACGAGTTTCACGTCCATGAATACGACGTTTTGCCGGGGAGCAGTTTGTTGCGTGCGCCGACGAGTCATTACGATATGACGCGAAGAACTCGATAATACCTCGACTATCTCGAGACAGTGTATGCCTTGGCAATTCACGGATGATCACCGAGAGTACAAAGGTGATTTAGAGAAGGCGCGAGCGAGTGAAACGGTCGATAATCCGGAGTTTCGAGACTCCCACTTGAAACGTTTGATAGACTGCGACAAATGTGCATGGCAAACTATCTAAGATCACTATAAAGATCTAACGGCGATCGAAATAGAAGTAATTTTAGCGCCAAGCGTCAAAAACAGTGAATGTTAAAATAGTAATTAGAAAGAGAGAGAAATAACGCTGACTGTCGATACGCGTGTTTGAGAAGATAATAAATACGTTATGTGATTGTAAAAATCAGCAAAGATGAAAAGACGCTTTGTCATTATCCGATGTCAGTCCGATGTTCTTTAATGCGATTTGTATAAAAAAAAAATATCAACTGGAAAACGCAAAGAATTCGGCTTGACGATGACTTGAATTTCATCTTTGCGTGCCGATGATCTCAATAATCACTTATCGCGTTGCAAAGAACACAAAAAAATTCTTGTTTATACTTATACAATTATGCAATACGATTAGATAACGAACGCCCAATGCATGCTCGTTGCAATGAGTTGGCGATTTGTCGCAGAATTTGTTAGTTTATTGTATCTGTAAATTCATTTAAACCATCTGTGATCGTGCGAGGTATTGATTGATGATTGTGTAAGTAGATTTGTATGTATATATGTATATATTAGGTGTTGGAATTAATTCGTAGCGTTTTTTAATGAAAGAATGTTATTTATATAAGTACACACACACACACCCTCTTTCGTTATGACATAAATTGTGTATCTTGAAACGAGATAACATATGGATTTCTACATAAAAGTCTATGAATGAAAGTTACAAAAATGAATAAATTCATCAATTATATTGAATCATCTAAAAAGTATCCGCGGTTTTGTCACTAGATGTGTTGACCATCAACACTATCTAGTGACAAAAAACCGCGGATACTTTTTAGATGACCCAATAAATATTCTAGTAAATTCGCTCATTCTTGTAATTTCCATCAAGTTGTATGATAAAATAGTTAAACTCCTTCCAATGAACAAGAATGGATTAAAATCGATGAAATGGAAAAAAAAAATTTTTAATTACGTATTCGCGAACGTTAAAATGAATCATTTTCAATCCAAATGCATTTTTATTCATTTATAGAAATTGGATGAAGCACATTTCTATGTCTTTTATCTAAAAATAATATCAGTTTTTCCGTGCCATGTCTCAATTCAAAATTCTGAATACGAAATACAGTTTTTCCAATTGAATCCAATTAAATACAAAAAAGACTCTATTATTTCGGATAAATAAAATTTTATTCCATTTTTAATTCATTCTCGTTTACTGAACTTTTCAAAGTTTGATGTTTTCGAAGAACTGAATTCAATGATCTATCCGGTCAAAAATTTGCGCGTAATTCAGAAAGTCTTGCATTAATTTTTTATTGCTGTACTGGACTGCGTTTCATTCGCTGCAAGTATACTGAAAATGTGTAGTATAACGTGAATAGATTTTTAGTATTCACAGTGAATAAAGAACACGCTCCTAGAAGTCGAATTTGTATTTTGAAACGAGATAAAAATTACAAAAATAGCAAATTTACTACAGACAGATTATGAAATCATATTATGATTTCATTGGATCGATCAATGAAATTATATTATAAATACTCTTGTAATTTTGCTCACTTTTGTAATTTTTACCTCATTTCAAGATACATAATCAACCCTCTGGACTGTACTAAGACTTTTGTTCTCGATTTCATCATATTTCAAACATATCTATTTTACTTTAAGTACAAAAAGTTTACATTAGTTTAGTTATGAAATAACAGATTTCTTGTTATCAGGATCGTAGATTGTGACACTGATAAGCCTTATGTCTACAATGCTAGAAATCTTGCACGGAGAAAGAATTAACAAATTGAATTAACACAATTGAACAATTGGGTTATTTGATTAATATGATTGTTCAATTCTTTCTCCGTCCGCGATCTCAAAGCATTGTGAATACAAGAGATCTATTTTTTTATAGTGATATATAAGAAAGACTTATCACCGTGAAAATAGCCGAGTTTACAAAAAGCATCTAGCAAAGGATTATGCTCTTTATTTCTTCAATGTACTTATATATTCTATTGATCAATATTCATAGTCAGTTCTTATATTCAAAACCGTCTTAAGTTCTGTCTTGAAGTGTCCAAGACCAATCAAAGGGCCGCATTAGCGTTTTAAGACATTACTTAAGATAATCTAGAAATAAGAACAGACTATGAATACCGGCCATTGTTACACAAGACTGAAAAAACAACTCTTACGTCGATTGTCTCTCCTGGCTCGTCAAAAATCTTTTTTTTCTCTCCTTGTAAGTTTTCCCGTATATTGTAGAGTCCATTGGTTTCTATAGCTAAACTAATACAATTTTTAAACTTAAAGTAAAGTAGGTAGTATGCTTACTTCACTTTTTTTAAGAAATTGAATGAGAAATGGAATTTTTACGAATTAATTCCAACACCTAATATATATATGTATAATATTTAATGAAAGCGAAAAAGAAAATTCTAATACAGGAATAATAAACAAATCTAAGGCTTTAACTTTGATCGAGCAATATGTACACAGGAGTGTATTCAAAATTCCATTTCTCATTCAATTTCTTATAATAATAGCTAAAGTATGTTTCATGTTTTTTTATTAATGACTATGACTAATCTTTATGCAGTCGGTTCTTATTTAATATCGTTTTAAAATTTGTTAATTAATTAATTAAAATAGCCTTGAAATAATAACAGACTTAATGGCTTAAATTTGTTAGGTAGAATTGTTGTTTCGTGTATATATACATACAAGTATGTGTTCTTACTCTAGAAAGATCTGCATATATTTCATATATGTGCATAGATAAGATGTCGTCGAAATATTTATGAAAGAGATAAAATGTATCGAGATAATATAATATGCATTTATTGAAATAAAAAAACCTATATACATATATGTCTATAATAATTGATATATATATATATAATATTTATATATATATATATGTGTTCAGTAGGAAAAAAAATCGAAGGATTCCTAAATTGATATATGTTAAAACGAAAATCAAAAATAACAAAATTGCGATGGATGCTTTGTTTTTTAGTTAGAAATATTTTAATATTCCTGTGATTAGGTATTTTCATGTAAATATTTCAATATTCAAAATTGGAAAATTAAGAATAACAAAATTTCAATGGAGACTTTATTATAAATATCTAGATATTCACGTACTTTAGATATTTCTTACATGATGAATATTTAACATTTATAATTAAAAAAAAAAACGAAGCTTTAATCACAATTTTATTGCTTTTGATTTCTTAATTTTTCATCTATACGTGCAATCATTCTTTAAATCTTCTCCTACCTATTGTCAAATATTAATATAATATGTATAGCATATAAAATTTATATGTATATGTATTGTGCATACATATGTATATAATATGTACATACATATATAAATTAATATATTTGTATATAATAAATTTTGCATATTATCTAGAAAAATTAGAAATAGTTATTCAACGGCTTTGCTGATATTCAATTTTTATTTTATGTGATTGTAAATATATAATTATAGAAATTATTTAATTCACATGAATTTAACAATAATACTATAAGACAAATACATTTATTTTACAATATTTTACAATATTTTACATATTAATTATATCAAGCAAAGAACATTCCATACTGTATACACTTCAATGTAAATCAGTTGTAGATATATTTGCAAATAAAAATTTGTATAAATCTTATGCGAAAAAGTGTTAATCACTGAATTGAAGGTTAGAATTCTTTTCTGAGATCTAAAAATAGACCTCAACTCAACAAACATATTTTTAGGTCGTGGTGTTCTCCAGATCTCTTATACGCAGTATGGATTAATCTGATAGGAACTTTTATCAAGCTATAATAATGTGTTGATTGTGAAAACAAAGTTTTAATTTAAATAGCAAAAGTGCAAGTATCAATGCATTACATTAACATTTGTCTAATGTCTGTACTAGATAAGATAGTACATATATATTATTCTTAACTTAATCCGTTAAACTAAACTGGTAAGAATAAGCAATACGAATGCAAAAAACCTATGGGTCATTTTAGATTCACCATTTCTTATAGTACAATACATATTTTTTTATAATTTCACAATTCAATAATTTAACGGTGAAAGAAATTTAATTATTTATTTCTAGATGCAACTTGTAAGAAGCAAAAAAGTGCACAATACATATTAACGCAAAAAAATATAAATATTTAGATTGTTCTTTCAATTTTTTATATTAATCAAATAATCTGTTTAAACAAAGAGTGCAAAAATGAGCAACACCACAGATAATCTTCTCAAAGAGGCTGTCATCCAGATTGGTGCTGGAGGATCAGCAGGTTTTATAGAAGTTTGTATAATGCACCCAATGGATCTCGTTAAAACACGTTTTCAGCTCCAAGTGAAGACAACAAAATCAGATCCATTATATTATACAGGTATTTTATGTATCAAGACATTTATAGTATCATTATGCATTAACTATATTATTATAGGAATTCGTGACTGCATGACTAAAATGTATAAAACTGAAGGATTACCAGCATTTTGGAAAGGAATTTTACCTCCGATACTTGTAGAAACTCCCAAACGTGCAGTTAAAGTAAATACATATTGCTTAATACATAAAAGTGCAAAGAAAAATCTGCGCATTTACTTACATTTATATTTACAAAAATTATTTTTATTTTTATTTATAAAAACTTTATCCTTTCTTTTAGTTTTTTACATTTGAACAATATAAACAGTTTTTCTTATTTGGCGCTAGTGCACCCACTCCGTTGGTAATTACTCTAATACGTTTATAACGATCTGCTGATTATTTATAAGATAAAAAAAAAGTTATATCATTGCAGACATTCTCATGTGCTGGTTTCTTTGCTGGTGTTACTGAGGCTATATTAGTTAATCCTTTTGAAATGGTCAAAGTGAAACTACAATCTAATCGAAAGCATATCAAAGAAAGCCCATCGACATTTGTAGTAACGAAAGAAATAATTTCTAAATATGGTTTTGGATTGAATGGTCTAAACAAAGGGCTTTCAGCCACTATAATGAGAAACGCGGTCTTTAATTCATTTTATTTTGGTTTTTATCATTCTGTTAAAGGATATATATCAGTCAGAAAAGAACCTTGGTTGGAATTTTTAAGTAAAGTAATTGTTCAGCTTTGTGTGACAAGACAAGTATACAAAGTTATACGCGATTCTCAGTTGTATATAAAACGTACTCAAAATTTTCCAGGTTGCTATAGGATTTGTGTCAGGTACTGTTGCATCTTGTTTAAACATACCATTTGATGTTGCTAAAAGTCGCATTCAGGGGTCACAAGATGGTACGCAATACAAAGGAACGCTGAACACCATACACATTATTTATAAGAGAGAAGGGTATTCATAATACATTTTTTACTTACCGATATTATTGTACTCGGGCTCGAGATCACTCATTCAGATAACTGTCATTCTAGATTTAGAGCCTTGTACAAAGGCTTGGTACCAAAGGTGTTGAGATTAGGTCCAGGTGGTGCCATTATGCTTGTGGTATATGACTACATGCATGTATTTCTTACAAAAAAGTTGATAAACTAATACATTGCATTTCAAGAAGCTGTGAGATAACTATAAGAATTTTTCAAATTGCATTTGATATTTACATATATTTATACATTATTGTGTATATATATATAATGTATATTTTTTACCAGTAAAAATAAAGATTCATATAATTTTATAAAAATATAATTCCTTATATATTTTAAATAAATGAACTTTTAACAATTTTACATGATCTTTCTTTTCCTTTGTTTTCAGACTTAAATTTTTATTTATATTATATATACTAACGTATTGCAATACACTGTATAAAAAAAAAAGAATTAATCATCTAAAACAGTATCTAACCATTTTTCTAAATCAATAGGCTTATTTGAAACACTCTTCGATTTTGTTTTGGAATCTGCAACAAATCGTCAATAAATATCTATGACATAAATCCCTCATATTCATTAGATTGCAGAAAATTAGTCTCATTGCAAATTGCACGTTTACAATTGTTTTTTCTGAGATGGAAATTTGACCTCATAGTTTTCAAAATCCCAAAATATCCCGAAAATAGAACTATATTGAATGAAACGATAAAATACTGTTTTGATGTTAAGACCTTACCAGTATTATGAGATGTAGATAATGGGATTCCTATTACAGGCTGTGAGATTCCTATTACATTGCTTTGGATAGGTTCCTTTAGGGATAACAAAAAATCTAGATCTTCCTCTAAGTCATCAATACTGTCTTCTGGTTTTATATTCGTCATCAAATCCACAGTCTTTGATTGATCGATCCCCGTGTTCTCTTTGGTCTCAACTTTGGTATCCGATAAATTCGATGCATTTAAATCATTTAAAATCACATTATAAGCTGTCTTGCCTCTCTCAGCATCATTGAAGATACTCGTCAATTGATCACTCTAAAATTAATACAAATTATTGAATTAATCATTCCTTTGATTGAGATATATTATCATAATTTGAGTCAAACTTTATACACTTCGTTTGTTAAGCCTGTTTCTTTTTATAGTTAAACTTTTTGTGGTGTATAATTTTTTGCATTTAAAGTGAAATAGATATCTATGGCTGCTTTTGTTTTAAGAAACATAGTCAACACAAGCGTCATTCTTAATACTCAATGAATAACAAGGATAAAACATGTTGATTATGTCTCCTAACAGAAAAGCAGCCATAAGTCGATAGAAATGTTCTCCTCCTTAGTATTTAATGAATAATAAAGATAAAATGAAACTTGTGTCAACCACGTCTCTCAAAAGGAAATATCAAATGTAAAAGTAAAAGCGAAAAGAAAACTTTTGCAGTTTAATACAACAATAAGAAATAAACGAGTATCTTTTGCATGTCAAATATCTCTTGAGTACTTACTACAAAGTACTTGTCAGCCACATCAACATACTCGTTGAACGGAACGCAGTCGATCGCGGCCGACAGCGCTTTCAGGTTCAAAGTAAAGAATTCTGAATATTGCGACGAGTCGACAGTCCAGGCTTTCTCTGACTTGAAGACGAAATGTCCACCTTTCGAGAGCGGCGCATTTATGAGGATGCCAAAGTCCTTGCCTTCCTCCACATTCTCATTCGTCGGCGATTCCGCGTGGTCGGTGATGGATGAGGAAGATTGCTGCGATTTGCTTTTCTTCTTCGCCCTTCGCATCTTTGAGAATTCGTCTAAATTCGTTCTACTCGTCCCTATTCGCGCGAAATCGTAAATCCGCTCTGCCGGTGCGTTCTACGTTTTGTGTTTACGTTTAGAAATCAAAACGCGCATGTGCACACTACGTGCCGTAAACGAACGATAGATCGATCGATATTCGACTCTCGATCTCGATGATTCACTCTCGATATTTATCTCTCAAATACGAATAATTTGAAAATAGAAATGTACAATATAATTCTTGCGAACAAACTCAGATTAATTTACGCCTGTTTCTACTAATGTAGAGTATCTTTACCCTCGGTTCAATTGGCACAAATTTAATTTTCACTTTTCGCGTTTCCGTTTTTAGGGAAAAAGTTATATACCTTCTTTTTTTAACAGAATTTTTTGTACGATTTATCTTTCCTGTTTTTCATGTTGGGAAGATAAAGAGCAAAGATGAACTGTACAAGAAGTTCAACTAAAAGAACTATTTTCACATAAATATTTCAATTATTCAATAGGAAAACGTGATGTAGAAATTAGCTTGCAGTATTTTTTACTGCCATTTTTCCGAAAATAATAGATACTCTCATATTTATCTTTTATCGCTATTTAAATGTGTATATATGTATATATATATATATTTTTTTTTTTTTATTTAAATAAGCAAGAGACCAAAAAATATATCATCAACTGCAAAGATTGATAACTCTTCTAGTCTATTATTATACATATTATTTAGATTTTATGTCTCATTGGTTCGTGATTTATTAAACTCGATCACAATTTTTAAATCAATTAGTAAAAATATGAATTCCAGACAGTTCTATATTTATAAAATATTTTTGACCCGTAAGATCAAAAATCCTCCATGTATACCAAGAATCTATTTATCATAATTTGTCGTAAAACCACATTCATAGGCGCAAGTTTATTGGATTCATAAACATGAGAGACATGCTAGAAATGAGAGTTAAAATTTAGACAAACTTGGAAAAATAATAAATGTAAAATTTCATAAATTTAATTTGGTATTTACTAAAGTATAAATATTGATAGCTTGCGTCTCAATTGTTGGTTTTTTTTCCAATCGTAATAATTACTTACGTTTACTTGAATCAATCTCTAGAGATATCTGTCAGCCACAATGAACTCATTGAACGATCGCGATCGACAGTTTTTAGTTTCAGAATGTGAAGAACTGAATTACGAGAACCAACGAATTCGAGTACCAACGAATGCAACCATTGCATAAACACAAAGTTTTGTAGAAATAAATGACGACCCATGGGAATTGGAAAATCTAAAAAAGGCGCATTCTTTGCTGGAAGCTTTTATTAGCATTAAATTTCAGATAAAGTCCCGACAAATATACTTCTATTACATACTACAAATTTAAGACCTAAAAGTTTGCAAAGGCAATAATAACACGCAGGGTATTGGAAAGGATCAATCGATCCGCAACATTACTTTTACCCTAAAGTAAAAAGCGACTCGCGTATTACGCACCAAACTTCGCAATGTAAAAAAAACCACAAAAAAGAGAGGGACCAAAGTTGAGCGTGGCAGAAACAACATTTATTGATAAATTGCTACGATGAAGTTCTATTAATTATCAGTAGATAGGTAAAATTCATAATAATGAGGTCTTCTTGAAGGAAACCGAGGTCTCAGGATGGTGGAGGGAGAGGATGTCATAAAGGAAGTATGCGAACTTTTATCTTTATTTTCACGCATGCATATATAGAGGTTTTTGCATATAAGCATATTATATATATGCAGTTCTCTCTAGAGCGAATAAAATGGCGTGTGGCAACCAAACCAACTGATAAAGAATATGATCGGTATAAAGGTCTGGGAGCACCTTACGCTCGTCCCTATTCTACGAAAGATTTTCGATGAACTTCTTCAATATTTTCGGAAACACTTTCGGCCCTGTTTTCACCCCCAACCAAATAACCTGTGTCCCGGTCGGGGGTTTGACGATCAACTCGATTCTGTCTTCGGGCTTGCATTACTTGAAGTTTTCTTCTAGGCTTGAGGCTTCTCAGCCGGAAATGAATTGCAGATCATATTCTTTGTCACAAGCAACCGACAAAACCTTCTGACTCTTGACAATGTGAGCAAGATAAACGTGTTCTTCAAATATCTTGTCTTGACTTTTCAAAACTCATTTTTTGAGAGTGAAACTTCAAACTTCCCTCTATCATCCAATACCTCTTGATTCAAAACCTTATAAACAAACAAACAGGTTAGAGAACTTACTTTTATTCGAAACTTATTATTTTTCTTTTTTGTTTTCGTTTTCTTGCTTTCTTTATTTAGGTTTACTTTATTTTTTTTAAGAAACTTTCCACATTTTTTTAAAAGATTCTATCCAACGGCTGGAATACAACTGTAAGCTAAAGACTGATTGCAAATTTCGAGCGCTCAATTATATTCCAGCTTTCACATTATAGGCTTTACACAATTGAAACCTTATCTTCATAAAAGGAAGCAATATAAATTTATAAACTTATGAAAATAAGGTTTTACATCTATTCTAACCTTACTGGTTTTCGTGCAGTATGCTAAATTCGGCTACATTTTATACTTTTTTTAATCCATAGTCTTAATGATATTATTATGGTATTGTAATTTAAACGCCTGTGAGATCGCATACGATGCAGAACTGGGTAAGGTAAGAATAGTAATATAATGCGATTTCGTTAATTTCATAATTTTGACCCGTTGAAGAAATATTTGGGTCATCTCCGAAAGGCCTGGCTTCGCATCACTTCATCTGATTTAATATCGACCTGAAATTCATTAAGCAACAAAAAAACCATGATTGTTTTACGAAGTTACGGATTGCTGCTTAGCTACTACCGTACGATTTATCAAGCGCATATCTCTGATGCCTTCTTCTGCTGTTTTCTTGCTAACTTAAATACTTACTTTGCAATCCAACTGATATTACCGTTTCAATTAGAAATATAAGCGGTCTACGAAAATATGAATCCAGAAGAAATATTACATAAATTGCTGATCGACTCTTTTCAATGTAATAAGATATGTGCAAAATCATTTTCTTGATTTGTCATTCGTATAATAAATATTGAGATAAGATAGAATTTTTTTGTATATATAAATATTTAATGCAATATATTAATTTCTTTTAGATTTCATAATTTTCAACTATCTTCAAGAAAGCAGTTAATTAACATAGATATGACACAGCAAAATGCCAGGCCATAATAGAACAAGATGATGAGAAATTGTGTCTTTCTCTAGAAAAATAAATATCGTAAAACATGCGAATTTTTTCTTCATATAATATTTTCGTGTAGTGTTCGGTAAAATAAACAAGTGAAGAGAAACAACATTACAATAAACACGGTTGTGCGATAAATTATGAAAATATGAAGATTTTGCTAGATAATTTGCAGTTATATAGATATGTTTACACCGTGTGTTTTAACGTGATACAGGGATGAGACACATATCCATGTAGACAGCTTATATTACAACGTAAATTAAAAAAGAGGTTATACTTACGCGGTGAATAAGAACGCGATCTAGAACGGTCGTAACGTGAACGTCGGCGACTGTAGTATGGGCTGGGTGAGCGACGATAGCTTCCTCTGTAGCTAACCCTATTGTTCCCATATTAAAAAAAAAACAACAAAAAAGAACAATATGCAATACATGTCAATTATCTTTTTGAAACACGTGTGTTATTCCAAAAGTAGACAAGACTTACTCTCTACGCCTCGGTGCGTCCCAACTTCTGTCGTGCAGATGCGTAGGTTTTCCCATGTATATTCCTGGAGTGGGGGTGTGGGCACGTTGCGTGATAGAGAAGTCTACGCGAATTCGCCTCCCGTCGATTTCCATACCGGTACATTGCTCTTTAGCCACTTTAGCATCTTCAGATGTATCAAAATATACAAAGCAGAATCCTCTAGAACGTCCAGTCTGTAATAAATGACATATATGTAATATTATAGCGTCGCCATTAAATCGCGCTATTACTAAATTGATTTTTCACTATTGTTTTCTAACTCACATATAAACCTAAATATCTAAATGTAATTGTGTAGCCAGAAGCCTTTAACGTATCATGTGTCTCTTAAGTATGAACGTTCTAAATCTCTGGCATGATTTTACTGTTCCCCAATATAAATACTTATGGGAAATAATAAACTGTTGCATTAAGGTCGGTTCTTTATAACTAATATATGCCTATGTGTTTAAAATAGGTACATATTGAAGTATTTAGCAAAAAGTGGAAAAGAAAGTTTCAGTGCAGTTCAACGAACTGATAAAGAACAGACCCTTAAACACATTCTGTACTGCGCAAGTCATATTAAAGTTTCCATTTTCCAGTTATCAAAGGCCATTTGATAATTTGACTATAAAAAGGAACTAATTATAATTTTTTATATCATATATGTTATAATATTGGTACATTAAATCTTCTACTTTATAATCTTTGTAATTTTTTAAATGTATATTACAAAATACATGTTATTTAACAAATATAACAAACGCAAATAAAAATATCATTTGTGACTTACGCAGTATAGTGGTTAAATCACTCACTATTGGCTTCGTACGGAACGTGTTAATATACATATATGTATATACATAAATATACATCAATTTTACATTACCTTTGCATCAATAACGACCTGTACTCGTTCTACTGGACCATATTTTGAGAATATATGTTGAATTTGCTGTTCGGTAGTAAAAATGGAGAGTCCAAAAACACCTAGGCAACGGGAAGGACAAGGATTGTCTCGATTGCCGATGTGTCGTCGTCTAGATGACATTGGGCTGCGCGAGTGTGAACGATACACGTGTCGATCGCGAGAGTATCGCGATCGTGAGTATGAGCGAGATCTACTGCGAGAATAACGACCACCGCGGTATGGTGAGCGACTTCGACTGCGGCTGCTACGATGACCAACACTGGTGTACTTGCTGCCACGATACGACTTTCGTCCACGTGATGCAGAGCGACTACGGGACCTCGAATATTTGACCTCTCTGTCCTTCCGCTCGCGTGATTTACGCGATCTCGAGTGTGATCGTGAATCTCTTAAGCCACCGTCTGCAGTTCGTGGTCGGCGCGGACTTGCACTACGACTACCACTTCTCTGTAAATTACAAACAACCATTATTATAAAATTGTATTGTATAGATATATAGAGATCTGAAAATTGAATTATCATTACATAAAAATTTAAATTAATTGAAAAATTTTCCTTAATAATTTGAGAAATTAAATATTAAAAACATAAAATATAAATATAATATGTTTATGATATTTCTGTATTCATTAATTGAACCGTTCTTTCCATTTTCTTGATATAAACCATACTTCGTATGCATTCCGACATAGACCAATCTTCACGTTAATAAACTTTTCTTCATGTTTTTCTCGCTATAATACTTTCTATGGCTCAGGTGTCGAAATACATTCTTTAATACCTTCTTTTATTTTTTCTTGTAACAAAAGAACTCGATTCTGTCCTTGGAAACATCGAACGTTCTGGCATTTTCTATGTACAAATTTATTTTGAATTTTAATTTCATTTAAATGTATTTAATTTAACATTAAAAAAACATTATAGAAATATTCATTATTTAATTTAACATTTATTTTGTATATTATTTAAATACAATACACTCCTATAATTGCTTACAATTCCAGTAGGCATGTGAATATCTTTTTTTATTTTTTTTTTTGTATACGAAAGATGCACCATGTATTCACATGACTACTGAAATTACAAGCAATTATAAGAATATATTGTATTTAATATAATATAAAATATTAAATAAATAATATAAAAAAATTAAATGTTAAATTAAATATTAAATGTTTTTATATTTTGTATATTTTTTAAAATGTTGAATTAAATATAGTCAAATGAAATTAAAACTTAAAATAAATCTGTGGATAGAAAATGCTGAAGCATTCAATGATTCCAAGGATGGAATTAAGTTCTTCAATAATGATATAAACTTAGTCTAAAGACAACTTCTAACTCTTCAAAATATAACAATAAGGATTAAACTTTCTTGTAGATTGAATTTTAGATTAAATAAAGCCTTTCTTTAAAAAATCGTTTTTATCATAATACATGTATTTGCCTATATAAATTTAGTCAAGTATACACATACATACACACTACACATGGCCACTACAAAAACAAGAAAGTAAACTTTAATTAAACTATAAAAGTAATAAGGCTCAATAAATTAAAACAAACAGAAAGACAAAGGGTCTAAGACAATTATCATAAAATAACAAAATTATTTTGAAACAGAAAAAATAAAATAAAACATGTATGAAATTTAATTTGACTGTTAACAAGTAAACAATACAAACATTTTGATCCCTGTTCATTCATCCCGGATCATTTTCAATGAAGCAAAAATAACTATAGAAATATTACATGGATATGATATATAAAAATTAAAATTCGCTCTCGATCGCAGTATTAAATATAAATCTCGCTCCAATATAAAATAAAAGTTATATGAAAGTTATAATCGACAATGTATTCCTCCAGATTGTGTATGTAGAAGGACGAACATGTTTCTGTTAGAAAGTACAAAATGTAATTATAAATTACCACAGGAATACAAAATAAAAATAATAAGAGAAGTACAAAGCGAATCGCAAATAATAAAAAGAAAGGTACAAAACGAGTCGCAAGTAATAAAAATAAAAAGGCAAAAAAAAAATCTAATATTTTAAGACATGTACATTAGAGTCATTAATGCGGAAAGAGAAAGTGTGAAGTACCGTCATACATTATATATATTAAATATAATATTTAGTCACAGATAAATTGAGAAATACTTTTTTATGTGTGTCAAAATGATATGTTATCTATTAGGCAATGTCATGAGATTGAATGTGATCATCTCTCTAAGATGTTCAGAGACAAAATAAAGTACACATATAAAGACAAGAAGGTTGAAATGGTAAACTAAAAATGAAGTAAACTAAACTTTAATTATCATTAAAATTGTGTAATAATAATTTTAAAATGTATAATTTTTATATAATAGCTGATTGTAGAAAAATAAAATATGTTCTTTTTTTTTAGCGATTAACAGATGACAATTTTTTAGTTATAATGTAGCAAATGAGCAATATTATATCATAACACAATTCAATTTTCTTTATAACGAACGCTATCAATGATAACAATATATTTTAATAAACATGTGAACGTGATCGACCAATCGCGATTCAGCTTTTCACGTTTATAACCTTATAAAGCTCCTTTGTCGAGATTACAATCGTTGGAGAAAATATACAAATAATCGGGAATTCTTTTTTGTTTTCTTTTACTTTACTCCAAAAGATATTTCGCAATTAACAGAAGCAAAAGAAGTGTGCCGAGTTGTTGCGTACGTTGCGTGGTGATTGATAATGGCTGGAAGTAGAATTGCGTCGCTGGATCGATAACTCGGCTATGCCGAATTACGTTACTTCATCGCAACTTACGTGAGAGTTATGCAAAGATGTGTAATTTTATATACTCACCTCGATATCGCTCATCGCCGATGTCTCTCAAATGGTGAATTTGTGTCGTATAAAGATCAAGATGCTTCTTCACAAACTTGTAGATGCGTATCTTCGCAGACACGACAATAATATGGCGAAGCCAGCAAAGGCCGGACTCCGGAGTCACTCTCGTCAGACAGGAAACGCCGGACCCGAGACTTACGCAAATGAACATACCAACATCCGGCGACGTCGTCACAGCAACGGCGACGCGTAAAGCCCGATTTACATAAAACCAAGAACGCGAGTCGCAGATTGCGCAGAAGCTTATTGCTTCATAGCCAATCCGATGTTTCATTTTAAAAGTGAATGTAAATTTTCACGAGCTGTTCTAGCGACAAAAAGGATCACGTGATTAAAATAAACGCTTGATATTCGTCAATTTTGACCACGTGATCCTTTTTGTCGCTGAAACAATTGGTTTGAGCAGCTCGTGAAAATTTAAGTTCCAATAAAAGGAACAGGGAACAGAGAACAGAAAATAAGAATTTCAACCTATCAGAAACTGTGTATTCCACAATACATGATTTCTGATAGGTTAAAATTTTTATTCTCTGGGTATCAACCATGAAACTTTATCCCTAAAATAGAAAGTGAAATGTGAAAATTTTTACTATTGAAATTAACGGAGAAACTTTTCACTTTTCACTTTTCATGTGAAAAAAAGGTTCCATGATTGATATTCTGTTCTCTGTTCCCTGTTCCTTTTATTGTGCGGAGCCCTTCACGCTTCAGATCGGGCGAGTTCAAGACGATAAAGCGACTAGGCACGCTTGCTAAGCGAATGAGCATGATTGATTCTTAGACTGAAGTCCCATGAGGTGTATTTACCACATATTGCGTAACCAATCAATAATCAGTAAAGTTAGTTATACACTTTCCATAACAGTAATAGTAAGGTTTCGATCGCATTGTTCAATCGTTATGGTTATGATTACGGATCGAATCGAGTAACGTGATTAGTCGAAAATCTACGTTACGTTTACGATTACTGTTAAGTCGGTTCTACATTAGTTGTAAGCCGATTGCAAGTTTGTTGCGATAGCCAATATGAAGCGTTGATTTCAAAACGCAAGCTCCAGATTGGCTGGTAACAAACTTACGATCAGCTTGCAACTAATATAAAAACTAGATTTACGAAAAGTGTGACTAGCTTTCCATAAACGCGAAATCACAACAGAAGATCACTTCTGATTGGTTACGCGGGAACGCAATAAATATATTTCATAGGACTCCAACCTTTCCAGTAGATCCAACTAATCATGTTTAATTGTTTGGCCAGCAGGTTAGCCACTTTGTTGAATGCTCCCATTGGTCTAGTTTCCACCGAGGGTTTAAACCGGATCAGAATGTAAGAACCAACTACAGTCGAATATTCCCCTGTTACGGTCGAACGACAGAGAAATGCTCAACTTTTTCCTTAGGATAAGAAGTAAAAAATGAAAATTTTAACCACTGCAGTTAATGGAGAAAATTTTCACTTTTCACTTTCCATCTTAGAGATAAAGTTTTATGATTCATACTCGGATTCGGGTTCCTATTTGGGTGCTTTTCGGATGTTATGTCATCCTTGTTTAATAAACAACGTTTAATAAACAACAAGGATGATATCCGAGAAGCACCCAGGTGGGAATCCGAACGCAGCCTAGAGCGAAGAAGAAACTTTCAACAATTGCAAAATACAATAAATATTCTGCTGAACGCAACCATTCTCCCATACTCGGAGGAGAGGCTTGCAATTACCTACGATCCAATTGCACACAAGCCAATCACAGCGCTAAAAAAAAATAAAAAAACTCCCTAGGCAGAAATCACTGTGACTAACAGTAGACAATTGCTACAGTACCCAATTGAACAGCTCTCTACTTGAAGTCGACAAGTACAATATTTTTGGAATGCATCTCTGTAAGCATTATTGATAAAGTCCTTGTTGTTTGTCAAATATTAAACAAGGATAAATGATACTACAAGCGACCACAAAATCTTTAGGAGCTTCACATAAAAAGGGAACAGGGAACAGGGAATAAAAATTTCCATTTCCATTCATTTCAACCTATCAGAAATCATATATTGTGGAATACACAGTTTCTGATAGGTTGAAATTCTTATTCTCTGTTCCCTGTTCCTTTTATTGTGCGAAGCCCCTTATTTGCGTATGTGTTTTCATCACTTCACTTTTGAAGTTTGAAGTTTTTGAATGGGTGCGCTCAAGTCGACAAATCGGTTAGGCCTTACAGAGCAAATGAATATTATTGGTTATTACTTACAGATCCAACCAATCATATTCAATTACTCGGCGAAAAGGCCAGCAGCTTTGTCCGCCTTGAATGCGCCTAATGTAACCTAAATGACGGCTTGGAAATTGGAAGGTGAAAGTGTGTAAAAGATAGAAGATGGTAGAAGTAGTAGAAGGTGGTAGATTGCGTCTATGAGCAGTGCGGGTAGAATATGGGTTGTGGGAATGATGGTCGTAGTTAGCGTGACTTGGCATGACTCTAGGACTCTTGCAATACGCGTTTCACGAAGAACGAGTTTTTTCTTGTGAATTCTGAATGTCAAGTGAAGTCCATGTTGAAGTTGAATATATCAACTATGTTCGATTGAGAAAACTAGATCTATCGCATCCATATCTAGGTGAGAGAACACTTGTCTTCTATCACAATCCGATTTTCCTTTGAGTCTGTGGCGAATTAAAATATCTGGAGATCGTTCGCCTCCAAATCTGCAATGAATCTGCGTACCTGTCGCCGATGAAACTTTATATTTACAATGTACGAGGTCTTTGCATCGTCATGGTCATTCCGGCTAGCACTGTGCGCGCGAGATAGCGATAACTGTTGGCAGTAACGGTACAATTTTTTATGCGCCAACAATATTTTTTTCGATAATTAAGTATATATCGAGTCTGTCTACATTTCGAAGGCTACATTCCGAAATGTACTTTCCAAGGAAGATTTCACTTTGTATACTATAGTATATATTATATCTATTACATATTTCAAACAAAATTTTCCTCAAAGAGAACGTTTTGAAATGTACTTTAAATATCATTATATATGTATTGCTTTGATTTTACTCTGTTTTATAAATGAATTACTATGTAATTAGTATATTGAGTTGACATATAAAAATATACATTATTCATAACTTTATTGCTTTAGAATTTCTTTTATGACTATGGATAATTATCAGTTGAATTATTAAGATAAATGTTCTATCATTATGATTAATTTGGCTAATAGAACATTTATCTTAATAATTCAACTGATAATTATCCATAGTCATAAAAGAAATTCTAAAGCAATAAAGTTATGAATAATGTATATTTTTATATGTCAACTCAATATACTATATATATATATATATATATATGAGATATTGAATGTAGCTCAGTATTAAAGCAATTACTTGTTGAACAAAAGATCTGAACTTAATTTCTAGATATAATATAACATTAAGAATCTTGACAAAGAAAATGTGATAAAAACAAAAAATTTGTTGTTTTTTAAAATGAATGTTCTGAATTGATCTACATTGTATATCAATATTACTACAAATATGCAACAGAAACTTTGTTTGTCCAAATTTCTCATTGGACAAGACAGTTCTGATAATCAAATAGTTTTTAGATTATTCTCAAATATTTAAAGTAGAGATTCATTTATCTTATTATCCAGTATTGATTAGTTCCGATAATAGGAACTAATAGTAGGAACAAACGTTTAGAAAACTGGAACTTACATAAACTTGTTCATATAAAAAAATGGAAAACAAATAAATTAAGTTTATTTTCTATTGTAATTTGTTTTACCATGAATATAATTGTATGAATATATTGTTAAGTGTAACATGTAATTGTTAAGGCAATAGATTAAAATGTTCTCTGCACCAAAATGTTCATATATCAATATTGATTTGCAGATAAAAATGTCAGCTGAATATAGTCGAAACGTTTTAAAAATAGTAGTTGCTCAGATCTGTCAGACGATAGGATGGCATTCTATTAATTCTACACCATTGGAGTTTCTAACAGATCTTTTGCAGGAATATCTGTTACGTATCTCAAAGCTCACACATCAATATGCCGAAGTTTGTGAGTAACTGTTATATTAATTTTGATCAATAACAGTTAAATATTCCCCTCAATTGTAATAGAGGAATATTCAATTGTGATTAGTCAATTCTATGGAGACTATTATATGTATTATCAAAATTTGTCCTTTTTCTATGTATTTTATATATTTTGTATGGAATAAGAGTTTAGATTTGAATATATTTTGGATATTATTATTTAAAATCTACGTTTTTAATATTTCTTGTAAATATCGACAACTAAATGACTTGTATAATTATTATAAAAGTAAATTGTAATACTTGTTGAGTAATTTAAGCACCATCAAATCTTAAATTTATATTTTTATGTTTTTATAGTGGGAAGAACAGAACCGAATCTTGATGATTTAGGATTAACATTTCAATATATGAATATTGATATACAAGAATTAGCTGAATATGTGAAAAATGTAGATTCTGTTCAATGTCCTATACAAGTACCACAATATCCAATTCGACGTGAAAATCATTTAAATTTTTTAAAGCCGGGTAGTCGTGAAGTTGTCACGAGATCAGTGCACATACATGAACATTTACCAGCTATGTATCCAGATACTGAAGGTAATAAATTATATTGTGTTTATTCAACAATTTTAGCAATAAATTATGCTAATTTATATTAATTTACATTTTATTATAATTTATAATAATTGTAGAGGAGTACATACCTGACAAGAATGAAAGTTTAATGAATGGTACAGCAGATCTGACATCTAGCAGTGGAACATCATCAGGCAATTCAAATAATGCGTCACCTCATAGGATGTCGCCACAGGTGGTTTTCAAACGGCCAGGCGATCCGGTGTCTTTTGAAAGTCCCATGGTAAAGCGTGCGAAAATTTTAGAGGAAGGTAGACCATTACGTGAGATAAGCAGTGTTATGATGACCACTTCTGGTTTTTTATCACCCGCGCGAGAAGGAAAGCTACCCGAAGCGAGAACACCGCATCAAGTTCGATCAGATTCACCGCAACCAAGCTCTTATCCGATGGTACCGCCCGAATTGAAGATTGATAAGAAACCGAAGAAAGTTGTGAAGAAAGCTCCCGAGAATCGTAAGCTTGACAAAGAGAACAAGAAGAAGAAAGGCGCGAAGGAACTGTTCAAGCCGGACAAGATTGATGAGAGCAAAGTGAAGAAATTAGTCGGCATGAAAGAGTTGGCCAAATTAAAGCCGTTAAAGCCAGGCGGTGGCAAGGGACAGTCTACCACGTTACAAGAACTTACAGGTGGTAGCAGGCCACCTACGCCGAAGATCGCGTCACCGAAATCAGCTACCAGTAGTCCGAAGGCGTCGAAAATAACGCAACCGAAAATCAAGACCGAAAAGGTACCAGAGCTAATAGACGTCTCTCCCGCTGTCGAAAAGAAGGAGGAAACTGTTGACAAGTTGCCATCGGAGCCGGATAAACAGAAACTAAATATCTTCAAGAAGATATCGAAACCACGTGAAGAAAAAGACAAAGAGATAACGGAGCCGAACAAATACAAAGATATTCTGGATTCGCGTGAGAATTCGCCAGAGTTGATCATAGATGTCGAAAATGCGGACAAGCACGTACACCGAAACGACGCGGAGCCGAAAGGAGGACGCGAAGAGAAGAAAACACCTCATACACCGGATGTGCACATACAATCGGACAGTGATTTGGCAGATGTGCAGAGTTTATCATCGGATGTTTACATATTTGATGATGCTGATATTTCACCGCCGGGTACGCCCAGTACGCCAAAAACTCCCGAATTGAATGTACCCACGGTACCGGAACAGAAGCGGAAAAAGAAAGAGAAGAGTAGTAAAAAGAAAGAACCTAAATTGAAGAATCCGAAACAATGTATCAGTCCAAAAAAGGTAAGATTTTAGAACATTACTTAGAAATATATATATGTAAAAATTTTTACATATATATGTAAAAAAGTTGCGTATACAAATTTTATAATTTTTTTTATCGATCGTAAAATCAATTTTATTTTCCAGCAATAATTTGATTAAATGCTACATTCTTTTAATATGTTTCCAATTTTCAGTATTAATATATCTTGCTGGTGTTTTTCAGATAAAACTCTCGAATGATGCAACAGAATTGGATATACCGGATCGGCCCAAGACACCGCAGGCACCCGAACCAATACAGCCACTTCCGTTCCCCTTTTTCCCACCATTTCCTTCGGCACCTGGTTTAATTCCTCCGATGTTTCCGCGATTTTCAATGCCACTCGGACGAGGTGGACCGGGTCCTCATCCCGCCATGCCCAATTTACCATTACCGCCGCGTTTTTCCAATCCATCCATAAAGCCCGAAGATTTTCCATTGTCCAAAATTAAACCTATAGAACGTGAGAAGCCACTGATTCCTCCGCCGGCCGAGTTAACGCCTCCGTCGATTCTAGTCGAAAATGAGAAGGCGGATAAAGAGAAGGTGGATAGTAAGCTTACGAAAATGTTTAAGCCAAACAAAGAATTGCCTTTCATGAAAGTACCTGAGAGGGTACTGCCTGTAGGCGTTGCACCGCCTATAGTGTCTGCACCTCTCGCACCAATTACGCTTGCTACACCAACAGTACCTGTCGCGCAAATGCCACCATTGAAAAATCTTAAAGCTGAGAAAACAGAGAAGAATGATATGGTAAATTCGGTAGGAGACCATATCTTGTTAGATATCTCAATCATATTAAAAAATATTTTTTAAATATTCCGATAAAGATAACTCCTACGCACGATATTATGTTTTTATTTATCATTGATGTCATAATTACTACGCTCTATCTTACTGAATCTAATAACTTTTATATGCATGTAAAAGCTATCAGATTAATTGATTAAGATAGAACATGTTAATTATATTTTTATATATATAACAATTTATAACATTTTCAGAAGTCTAAAGAGCATAAGAAAGAAAAGAAAGATAAGTTAAAGAAGAAAAAGGATAAAAAAGAGAAACATAAAGATAAAGGCGAAAAAGTTAAAGAGAAGAAGGAAAAGACTGAGAAGCGCGAGAAATTGGAAAAACTCAAAGAAAAGAAAGAGAAAAAGGAAAAGAAAAAGGAGAAAGATCCAAATAAGAAAAATATGGTATTTGTATTATCTTTCTAATATATGAAAGTAAATAACAACAATTAAATTATTATATATGTTTTATTACAGAAGGAAGAAAAGAATCCAGAAGCTGTTCCAAAAATTACGTTAAAATTAGGTACAGCTTCTCCTAGACCGGCAACTCCAGATAATGCCCCTATGAAAAAAATGTAAGCTATAAATAAATTCTTATTAATAAATATATGTATTCGCCATTTAATGTAATCGTAATATAAATTTGTTTAGCTTTTTAATACGTGTAATCGATTTATCGAAGAAAGATTTTTATTATATTATGTAACTGCATTATGTTATGACATACAGATAATCATAATTGTATTATTTTTTCCAGCACTATTAAAGCACTTGTGAAAAAGCCCGATGAAGAAATTAAGCGGGAACCTAGTCCAGAATTGGCGAAAATATCGGCATTGATAACACGACCACCGAAGCAAAAGTCAGCAAGTAAGAAAACAGAGGAGGGAATATTAGATGGAAGCCTTGCTCTTCCTACAGACTGTTTCTCTCTTACTAGCGCGCCACTTGCATCAGTTCCTCGAGCAAAGAAATCTAACTTCCAAAATCTATCTCAGAGTGAGCCAATACCTTCACCTCAGTTTGACAATCCTTCTAAACTCCCGAATCCTCTAGTGCCGCCACAACAACCACCATATTATTTTGTAAGTACATTTCTTATAATATTTACATATTAAAGATCACTGAAATTTACATCATAATTCAAAATCTTAAAATGGAAATATTTTGTACGGAATCTTTATAAAATTTTACAAAGTAAGTAAATTGAATTTATGATTAAAATATTTACATAGAAAATAACATATAAAGCTTACACAATTTTTAATATTAGGTGTAGTAAAAAGAAATCCATTATTTTTCCAATAGATAGCTTTAGTAATCTGTATCACGCGTAGACGAGATACAGATTACTAAAGCCATCTATTGGAAAAATAATGGATTTCTTTTTACTACACCTAATATATTTCAAAGCGCAGAAATTTATTAGCACTCCTGTTCGACTGTTTTTAAATTATACAGAGAAGAAAAGCTATTTAATTTCTGTATAAAAACATTGCTGGAAGTATAAAAAAATTCTTTTATAAATGAAAAATTAATAAAATTAATAGATAATGAAACATATAAAATTTTGAAAGTAAATTAAATTGGATTTAATTAATTTTTATAAGGAAAATTTTATAAATACTTATCCTGTACAAATTTGAGAATAATTTGTCTTAAGTTATTGCAAACATTTTATTGACATTTTAATCTTATATAATGAGATGAACCCAACCCATCGATATTATTTTCAATACGAACCTATCCAAAAATTCCAATTTCCTGTTCATGCTATCTATGCATTTACATCTTGTGGTGACGGTATCATATTACCCTTTTCCCCTTAAATCACGCTCTCTTTTTTGATATATTGTTATGTTGTCCAAATAATGAATGTAGTACACATTCTCTCTTATAGCTATATTTAGACTTACTGTGTATTTTATGTTGCAATTATTACTTACTTTCTTTAAGTTTAATGCTCATTTCTTATATTGAATCTTAAATATTTCTTTATTCTTAATTTTCACAAATTGAATCTAAACGCTTGTTTTGCCATTCTATTTTTACTATTTTTACTATTCTGCCTCGCAAAACTTATTTTGTACAGAAAGCTTTTCAGAAAAGATATTTTTATAAATATATTAAATTTGAATAATTTCAAGTTACAAAATAGATGTTACAAACAGGGGCGGACTGGAATAAAAAATATTATTAATTAAATGGTAATAAGGGCCTATTTCAAATAATAAGTTTTAGATGTGTCATATGATCAAATGAATAAATAAATAACAATTTATTTGTTCATTTATACGTTCATTTATACGTTTGTGTATATTTTATATTTATTTATTTGTTTTACTTAAATAATAATAAATAGCAATTTACTTAAAGAAGTACTCAAACATAATAGCACTTCATAAAATTAAATAGTATCGACAAAATTAACCAGAGCATCAAAAAAGTTTAGCAGAATCACCCATATATGATTGGCTCTAAGAAAAGCGTTGTCAATTTTTTTCTTGTTGGCTTATCACACTTTTTCTTGTGCTCTTGGAGGCTTATCACAACAGGCTCATCGGGCATTTGTCGGATTGATTGGTAGACTAGTCCACCTCTGTTACAAAGTACTATTTACACTTACATATAATATGGAAAGAAATCTTAGAAATAATATTCTCTAGAGAGAATATATTCATTAATAAATTTGATAATTTTTTTTATTTGACATATATATTTTAAATATACAATCTTTTCTGAGTAGCTGCATCTTGAGTTTGCCATTTATAGAATTGCTGCATTTATGCAAATATAGACATAATTATTTATAAACAATAAATAATATTAACTTAGAACATTTATTTAATCATTTTAAGAGTAATAAAACATTTATCGTCAATATTTTATCATCCATATATTCTACATAGATCAACTATTACGATTCATATATACATATATGTATGTGTATGTATGTATATATCTATATATATATGTATGTATATATATATATACATATATATACATATACATATACATACATATATGTGATATACTTGTCTCTTCTTATCATTACAAATTTAAGCGATTATAATGTAATTATACAAATAATATTCTGACAGATTTAATGAACAAATATCCATTGACAATATAAATGTAAATTTTATGGAGGCATTATTGTAAATATATGTACCACGATTGATATCGATTATTAATTGAAATAACTTTAAAACGCAGGATATCCTTAATATTAATATATATTCAACTAAATTGTTACCGTAAATTCTACCACTTTTTTCATTTATTAGTATACACTGTAAAAGTTCGAGTAGTACCAGTGTGTGTTACTAATATACAATTCATTTTTAACAATTTATTTTTCCATATATGCTAAAAGAAGTAATTTCTTTTATAGTATATCTTTCTTTTATTAATTAATAATATGCCCATGCTTCTCATTAATTTCTCTTCTCTAGCAAATGCAGTCATATTAGCGCAAACATATATTCTTCACGTACAAATAGTTACAAGATGCAATTAAGACTTGTATGTCACTACTGAATTTGCCGCTTGACTATTAACTAAGTAGCATTAGAGAGCATGTATCTTATCAGTTACTCACATCTTACATCTTATTTTTAAATCTTATTAAGAATTTACTTAACTCAAGGTATAATGATGATTTTTTTTCTTTTATTTCTCTTCATTTAATTAGTGAATATATGCATTTATAGTTTGCGATCATTGATACATAATTTATTAGTAATATACTAACAGACAATAAAGAAAATATTAAGAAAGTTATGTAGTAAAAAATGTAAAAAAGCAAACCATTGCATGAGATTTGCACGTTGCATAAAAACATTTAGCATGAGAGACCCGTTAGGAATATAACCGACGGTTTTAACGGTACAGAGGTGAAAGCAGATCCAGTTCCTAAAAAGGATGATGCTAAAGAAGACAAAGAAAATGGCAGGAACGTGTTGCCTACAACACCAACCACTACCGTGGTGAGTACGCTTTACACCTCATTTAAAGAACATTGCAAGAAATTTTCTGTGCGCCGATGCTATGGATAATTAGTTTTCATACTTCATAATACGTTAGTTGCAACATGATACGTATAATGCAAAAATATAAATGCAGAAATAATGCGCACGCTAGCTACCTTATATATAGGAGTGATTTAGATAAAAAGCTAGGATATGGTTTAAAGGATGCGTATCGAATATTTAAAAAAGAAGAGACAAGTTCATCTCCGACTCATATTATCATAAATCATTATTTCATTGAGATACATAAGTCCCACATATTATTTAAGAGGGAATTTTATAAGAAAGTATTATAAGCTACTAGTATCTTTGTTTTGTTATTTCTTAAAATATTTCTTCATGATAAGAGGGAATGTCCATGGACAGCATGACAAAATATCTTAACTTGAAGTCCACTGACTAATTCTCATAGAGTCAGTACATTATCAAGAAACATGTTCCACATTAAAATAAATATTTGAGGAATCCAAACGTTGGCAAATGTTTGAATGATTTTCCAAAACTCCAAAGTGAATTTCGTAAGAGATGGGTTGGGTTTAAATAAAAATTCTCGTTGAATTCCGTTTATTCTGAGATGAGTGTTCCAGGATCGAGGAGGTCGGCAAGTGTGGATATGTCCTGCATGCGGCAACCAGGATGATGGCTCGCCAATGATCGGCTGCGATGATTGTGACGCTTGGTATCATTGGTAAATAACTTGTTATAATTTATATCGCATAACGTTGAAATTAATAAAAATAGCAAAAATCTTACTATCTTTTTAATATTTCAGGGTGTGTGTTGGTATGCAAGTCCCACCGGCTGAAGATGAGGATTGGTATTGCCGCTTTTGTATAGCGAAAAAACAAGAATTACTTCACGATAAGAAGAAGAAAAAACGAAAAAAGAAAGTGAAAGTAACGGCCTAGTATAAGTCAACCGGGTCTAACTGCATAAGACCCGGTGTAATTATACCAAGCATTACCAAAGTCAAAGCGAAAGATAACAAAGACGGAGTGAAGAGTATAAAAACGAAAAAGGTGCCCAAGAGTGATGTTAAGATGCAAATCAAGCCGCTAAAAACAAAATCGATAGCAGCTAAAGGGAAAACTACAAAAAATGTAGTAAAAATGAAGACTGTAAAAAAGAAGTAGAAGATTGTTATGTCGTGCAATGTAGTTTAGAATTATATAGCAGGAATTGTATTTTGTAAACTACGGGACAAATGTAAATGATTTTGTTCTATGCCAGCATGCAAACATTCTACGTTTGTTGGTTGTTCTGTAATGTAGTAACGATGTTTATCGGTGTTTTAATTATTACAAGAAAAATATAAGAAATTATATGTCAGTAATATTTAAGATACCAATAAATGTCGTTAATGGAATATCTCTGTGCTGGTTCTGAGCAGATCTTTTTTTCGGTTTTCTACTTTATATACATCTACTATGTACTGTATCATAAACGCTGTGTAGTTTATTACACAATGTGACAAATTTGTAGTATATTTTCTTAGCTCAAGTAAAATTATATATTTTTCGCCTTATGTTATATTGGCAAATTAAATATGCAGGACACTTCGAAAAATGCAAAGTAATGTCCATTTTTAATGCGTATATGAATCAGTTATGTATAATAAGTTATGTGTATAAATTCTTATTAGTGATTATATATATATAATATATGATCAATGGATATGTACAAGGTATATACATCAATTTGCAAGTAAAATTAATAAACTATTTTGATAGCGATTTTATTGTGTTATATTAGCAGTTATTCCATTTATGCATTAATTTATGCATTAATAATTTGTAGTATTATAATTGTGTTGCATGTACAAGATGTGAAATATTATTTAACTCTGAGATATGTTTGTAATATAAATTGTGTGTCTGCGAGGATGATTTAAAATAAACAAAATTATTTGTTAGTTCAATAACAGCAATAAGGCCAAACGCCAACTCATAAGAATTGTGTCAATCATACGTTAATCAAAATGTTGCAATCTATATAATTTTGTTTATAAACAATATTTAAATAATGCCAGGTTTGTGGATTATCGCCATGTCATGATCCATTGCTAATACCATGGTTAATATTGTTCGAGTTGTATCGGATCATGCATATCTATTAATTATACGAAGGTATTAAATTATAATAGACATTTATCATGTCAACATTTATAATTGTAACAGTTTGTGAGATTTGTCATACTTATGCATATTATATGCATGTTTAATGCATATAATAAATTTTTGTTCATTTTTTTATAACATTTCTATAAATATTAAAACGAAAGTTTACCGATTATACATCAATTAACATCATGAAATGTATGTATGTATACATATGTGTGTGTGTGTGTGTGTGTGTGTGTGTGTGAGTTGTGTGTGTATATATTAATAAATAAGATATTTGTTTAGAGAACAAAGCGAAATTGTATCAATTGCGATATTTATTATTGTAATTCGTTTCTTTTGTACTTGAAGTATGGTATATAATAAATACAAATACGTCAAAATTTTACAATTACAAATTCGTTATTTACATATATTGAAAGATATTTGTTTATTACACAATAGAATGTTTTACATAATGTCGCCAAAAAATACAAAAAAATAACGTATGCCAAATTCTAGATTAGAAGTATTTTATACAAATATATTATTCTCAATATTTTATATAAGAAACTTATATTCCTACATACAACATTAAGATCATATGAATTTTTGTAACTAAGATTTCCTTTTTTTTTTAAGACAATTCAACATGTTCAACAAGACAAAAGTTCGATATGTCTTATTAAATAGGATGATATTTTTATTATATGTTACATTTGATAGTGTTTTTACACATGATCAATATTTGTACTTATATTTTCTGATTATAATAACTTAATAATATAAACACAAATGAGTAAAGAAGACCATGTTTGATCAAGGAGAGTGTCTAATAATATTTTTGTATGAATTTTCAATTCAAGCAAAATTGCGTTTTTTACCGATTATTTGTTAATTTTGAACAAGTTTGAAACATAGTTCTAAACTATGAAGCCGGAATATGTAATATCACAAGTTGAACATTGACAAACAATGTAATATTACTGTTGTGCATGAGTATCTTCAAAAATATTGTAAAGAATTTATTGTGAAAAATATCTCGGCCGAAATTCGAGAACTTGGATTTCCTAAAGTTCACGAGTCTTACCAATTCAATCACACTGAGGTTTCATTTAAATATTAGACACCAAGATCTTAATCTATTTTCACTTAATATGTTAATATTTGTTCGTGGTCACCTCCTGAGAATTTTGTTGGTCACACAGGGAGCAAAATAATCCCAACATTTTCATTGATTGCCATATTTACGGCTTTTGTTTCTTAAAATCACAAAAATTACTGAACATACTTTAAACATTGTAGAATATGAAAATGCAGTGACTTTTTAAAGTTTTTAATTTTAACATATTTAAAAAAATCGCTAAGATCGCTGACGTCCAAGGAACAATATGCGGCCGAAGATGTAAAAAGAGTATCTTGAACTTAGGATAAATGTTTAAATTCGTTTTAAAAAAAGATCTTAAAAATATAAAACTTTTTTGGGATCCCCTGGACTCCCAGTGACTATAAAGGATTAATAATATAAACTTTCAATTCCGATTTCATTTCCGATTAGATGTATAAAGAATATACATCTAATTGGAATTTAATATAAAATAATATTTTCTATTAAACATTTTTATCATGTTCTTTAATTAACTAATTTTTTAATTGTATTTTTTTTTATATAAATATTTCATTTATATAATATTTATAAATATAATTACACATTTTAACACATGTCAGTTCTACATCTTGCAGGTGGAGCATTGAGTCCACCAGTATCACCAGACTCAAGTTGTTTCAGGAGTCGAAATAATGCGGCTGCTTCTCTAATGCGACTAAATTCCACACAGAATGCTTGAATCTCGATAAATAGTTCTTGCACGTTTATGATCTTATTTCTTATCAGGGATTGCAGAAACACACAAACAAGTCGTACCAATCGATTTTGCATGTAACGATCTTTGATAGTCTCGCAAGTGGATATACAGTTGCTGATATATAAATGTACAAATTCCGTCGGTAGATCAACAGTGGTAGTTAATCTATTCACGACCTCCATGGAATGAAGGGACATTTCCATGTTCACCAGCACGCTAAAGTATTCCGTGATCTGGCTGGACTGCATTAGTTTTAATAAAACTTCGATGGCTATCAGAGGATTGTTCTCAACCAGATCTGGTAATTTAGGTGGTGTCAGTCCAATGTGATAAACGAGCTTCGGATCCTTTTCCAATTCACTGATCAAGTTTTGTTGCTGCATCAAAGTTAAAACATTTTTGAAGGCTTTGCCCATGAGTTTACGTGCCTCAAAGCTGACACAGTTTGACACACACATGCTAGGATCATATTCGACTGTAAATTGAGTCGGTTCGGTGATATGGAACCAAGCAATCTCATTGATAGAATGATAAATCGGTGGTACAAGTCTCAGAAATTCTGGACGATAACTCTGCCTACATAAGGGTGGATCACCAGTAGCGAGGTTTTCTATTATATTTCTAACGGTAGCCGCGTCATATTCTGTTCCTTTGGAGTGATCCATGTCAGGTAGTATTATAGGATTTCCACATTTGCTAACGGCTGGCAATTCGGACTGATGTTCCGCCAATTGCAGTTGCAAATTGGTCAGATCAATAGATGGTACTGTGGAGAATGAGAATTCATCCACAATCTGACGTGGTGTCTTCTTGATAACATCCTTCTGATTATATCCCATCAAATTGACAAGTAGATTCTTTTCACAATTCGATAGGAACGGTATGTGACCAGTGTGGTTGGATAGTTTCGAGCTTCCATTGTTAACGTCTTCCTGAGACTTTAGCATTTGTACAAATACAGAAGCGAAAGGCGTAGAAGCTAATGGTTCTCCTCGATACAAGTCGAACAGCAACGTCAATGCTACAACACGTTGAGTGTGCTTAGGCAGCAGATCAACCTGCTGCAACTGCAGCAGCAATACTGTTCCAACGTTAAAGCGCTCTTCCTTAGGGAAGCTCTGATGCAATTGATTGCAAAGGTTCTCCAAGGTGGTGTCCAAGTTTTCCTCATTGAGGAGATCCAATAGTTTCACGATGTCTTTCGAAGAAAGTGCCATTCTTGCTACGTGGTGAACGAAATATTTGTTATCGTATGCCTTTTCTTCGACGAGAGACTTCACATTCACTCTGTCATTGTAACATTATGTAAACAAAGTGAAAACTAAAAAGTTTCTCTCTTTGTCTCTCTTACATGGAAATATACATATTTACGGACAGAGAATTAACGGATATTTTTAACCCTTCTATTTTGAAACAAAGTTCTAGAAATAGTTTCGAACAATCCATCGGAACCTGGAACTGTTTTACAGCTGACCGTTTGTAAACGTACAAAACAAAGTTTTTCACATGGTGGAAGAGATAATCTGGGTCTATATTCTGTAAAGGACTCTGCATAATAAAAGGAATAAGGAACAGAGAATAAGAATTTCAACTTATCAGAAATCATATATTGTGGAATACACAGTTTCTGATAGGTTGAAATTCTTCTCTGTTCTCTGTTCCTTTTATTGTGCGGGCTCCTAACTATTTTACACGCTTACCGACAGTTGTCAGTGTTGTTGCGCAGCTTTTTCACCATATAAAATATCTGCTAGAGTCCTCTATAAGGAGTCAAGTCATAAGGGATATCGATCTCTAATTGGTCAGATTTCAAGTCCCTTTAAACGTCGCCATTTGCAGATACTTTTGATGGAGTAGTGAATCTGTGAATTGATGTGAGCAACTGTTTCATGTGTAGAAGGCGCAAACGCGAAATCAGTCTATCAATTATCAATCATGATAGAATTGTGTTGTTTCCGGCCACCCGGCAATGGCGTCCTTCCGGTTTTATGTCTTAACTCTAGAGGAAGAGTCTGACAAAAATTATCGTAACACTTACTAAGGCTAATTCTGTAATGTGCTTTTTGTTTTCTATTTCTTGCTGTTTGTCTCTTGTCTTATTGATTAAAAAAGGCAAGAGACAAACAGCAAGAAAGAGCAATGTAAAATTAACCTTAGGATCTGAGCACAAGAATTGTCGTAACATTTACTTAGACTTAAATTGTAGATGTAAGTAATGCACAAGCTTTCATGTACGACTTATTGCCGTGTCTCCAAGAGATGGAAATAAATCGTACGTCATACACCAAAGCTTGTGCGTTACTTACGTCTCAATTCAAGTCTCTAAGTAAGTGTTCCGATAATTCTTATGCTCAGACCCGAATTCTAATATCTGCGCAACGACACCGACAACTGTCAGTAGGCGTGTAAAGACAATGGCCTAGTTTCCACCGAGGGTTTAATCCGTATCAGAATGTAAAAATCAACCAACTACAGTCGAACATTCCCCTGTCGTTCGACTATAACAGGGGAATGAGTTTTGATAAACTCAAGAGAACCATTAAGGTTTGTAAACAACCTCAGTGTCACCGAGTACCATTTTACCCTTATTATACATAATGTTAATAAAAATTATATACTTTAAATAACGGTTACAAAAAATATTGACATACGAAAGTGTGATAAATCAACTTTACATTCTATTTGACACATTAATTTTATTTTTTCATGAAATGTCTATGTAGCATATTTTTTTTAAATAAAATGAATAATAAAAAACATTTGTACTTCTTAATCTTTTTAAAAATTATTCTGTAGAACTTTCTTCCATTACTATGGAACCGCATACGTTTCAAAAAATATTGTAAAATCATCTCTTATTTGAGAAGTACTTTTTGTTGGTCTGTTTCTACCAAACGTTCCTGCATCTTCCATACTTGTAACATATAATTTCTATTCAAGTACATTTAATGTTATATATTTTCTTTCCGCATGTGGCTGCTCCAGTTCCTTTGATATTATGAAATTATGTAGACATGTTGCCGCTTTGATTATTCTAATGACAGTAAATATGCTAGCAATTACTGGTTTGCGAAATATTCGCATTCTTGCACAGTAACCTAAATACATTTTCCATGATTTTGTAAGCTCGACTTGAACAATAGTTAAATATATTTTTGCGTCTATTGAACTTGCCACTTTTAGAATGGCCTCATCATGTATCGCGTTAATGGAAACGCTTCATCATCAACTAAAACAAATGATAAATTCTGACTATCATGTTTCATAGGTCTATCAATTTATATTGTCGTATTTATTCATATAAATTATTATAAATTATATGAATTATAAATTATTTGTATTTATATTTTATTTATGTGTTGTCTATATAATTATTTATATTTATATATTATTTATTATAAATTATATAAGTTGAATTATTTTTATTATCAAATTCATTATATTATAAATACGTAAAATAATATTAACATAACGCTAACTTCAAATTACCGCGGCAACATGGCGGCTCTGGATATCGCTCTTCTTAAGCTGGTTTTATATTAGTTGCAAGCTGATCGCAAGTTTGTTGCGACAGCCAATCTGAAGCTTGCATTTTGAAATCGACGCTTCAGATTGGCTATCGTAATAAACTTGCAACAATCTTTTGGTAAATTTTACTTGTTAGATAAATCTGACAATCTCCGTACATGTGATTGGCTAATCTTGCTACTTACCCAACAGGTAAAATTTAAAAAGTGGGACAACCGGGCCTTAGCAACAAAACTCATCAATCCCTGTTTTTTTTTTGCTATCATGAAAATGGAATGCGCGATGAAAAGTAGTAATTACAGACATTACGATTGACTTTCGTTACAATTCTTTTTGCTCCAAATCATAATGTCCTTTACTGTCAAGTATAGTGAGTGGTATAGTTGCACTGTTAAATATATACAGGAATACTGAATGGCAAAAGAAATGTTTAGAAATTATGAAAAAGCAAGAAGAGGTTAGGAAGAAACGATTATTTAGTGCAGCATTTGTTGCAATTATGTCTGTAGATAGAAAAACATACAAAAAAAGATTTTAGAGAATCCTTGTTTGTGCAAAACGGAAATTGTATGATTAAAATAAATTCATTTTGATAAAATAAATTCAAATTGTAGTGATTATCGCCTATTGTCGCTACAACTTTAATCAAATCGAACTACAGAAGCGACTGACAGCGACAACTTCGACTTTCAAGTGACTGATGGAGTCACGTGATTTTCCGTTCGTCAAAAGTTGCGACTAATCGCCGCCATGAAAAAGTACCTTTATACATCCACCATGGCAGCACCCCGGTGTAGTTGATCGTGTCAATTGGTGTCAATTACGGTCACGCTTTAGATTTCATGATGAAGAAAGTACATTTCGCGTCGTCCTTGGAATGGGAAGGAACAGGTGACATGATTGACGAACGTTTATATAATTCTACCGCGCAACAAACGAACGATTATGCGCATCTGCAACTGATCAATCTTCCCGATGTTTGCTTGGAAGCGATTTTGTCTAACCTCTCCTACGATGAAATTTCTAAATATAGGATCGTAAGTTCGCCCTTTAATATCCACGAGGATTTTTTTCACTTCCTCGTATACTTCGCGAAGCATAGATTCCACAATGTGTTTTTTAGGTTTGCAGACAATTCGATCGAATCTGTAAGAAACTGCTCAACCGTGGTTTCAATCTCATGGAGAAGTATCATGCACAATGCCTCCGTACTGTCAAAAGCAAGCTGCCAAGAAGGGAGTCTGAGCGACGGAGTCATCCTCTCGCACGTCATTGCGATATCTTGACGGCAATAGAAACGAGAATCTCTATGCTATCAATGACTTTTATCAAATATGTTGATCTGAACGTTTGTTGCTTTATACCAGGAAAGGTAAAGGGCTATGTATAATCAAAGAAATAAGGAACAGAGAACAGAAAAAAAAGCTTCAACTTATTAGAAACTTATTAGAAATTATTTGTTATATTCCATAGTACAAAGCTTCTGATAAATTAAAATTCTTGTTCTCTATTCTCTCTATTTCTTTAACTATAGGTAGCTAATAGATTTTTGCCTCATAAAAAATTGGTTTCTATATCATTGCTTGATGTATAAATATTTGTTATGTTTAGGTTCCTATTCTCTCTTAACTTAACAATTACATTGTTATTGTTTAGGTTTTACAAATGATAAAAACTATAATAATGATAATAAATCTGTTTTTTTTATTTATGTACTAGATTGTTCTAAAACTTTCTTGCTTTCTCCAAATATCAGACATATATCTATTTCATTTTGAATTCTAAAAAAGTTTATTTACATCGTAATGCTCCAACATGTTCCAATATGCTTCTACTATGAATGTTTTCCAATTGCTTAACACATCTTAACACACAGGAATGCATAAAATGTAACATTGTGCACAATTCAATTGGAATGTATATGTTGTGCGCGATTGAGACTCGTTTTGGATAGAGCTAGATTAAATGTAGCTTTTTCCGCCTATATTAAACAAAAAAATAAAAGTGCCGGTCACTTAACGTCCTTCAATCTCATTTATAGCCGCCGGAATTAGTAGTTATGTATTAGGTGCGCAACTAAGTTCTCGCTGTTATTTTGATGGCATTTTCATCAAAATAACAGCGAGAACTTAGTTGCGCACCTAATAATTGTCACTAGAAAACACAAGCTTACTGTAGTGTTGTGTCGACAATAACGGACAATTAGAATGCAACTTGTGTCGCCGTGTGCACGAAAGTGTCTAGGGATATTGCAATTGGAAAGCATTCTATAATTCCTACTCTCTCTAACAAATGTGTTGGAATATGTAAGATTTTATGGTAAAAACATGCTGAAGCATGTTGGAGCATACAGTGTGAACAAACTTAAAGTGTATACTAGTTCACAGAAAATAAATTTTATGTAAGGACACCAAGAGACAAACTCTTATTAACTTACAAATATAATATTATTAAATAATAAGTATGTTGCATTATGTTTCAGGTAATCGACGAAATTTTCCGTGTTCTTCGATTGATTCGAGAGACAAAGACACCGCCTAGAGCACACGAGATACTTCAGGAACTACGGGATATAAGCAGCATGGCCATGGAACATTTTGATGAGAAGATCCTGCCAGATCTGAAGCACAACATTTGCACATCCATGGTTGGTACTGTAAATTCATATGATTTACCTGGTGGCGTCATGATCTCCCATGGTAGGAACATAAATAACTCCACACTGCCGCATTGCAACAATCATAATATAACCTGCTCCGAGAAGCTTAATCAAACTTTTAAGAAGATTAATGATCGTACGAAAAAGAACAAGATGTTCTTTTTGTCTATGAGAAATGAAATTACTAGAATGAGACTCAGGATACAGAGACAAGAGTATCTGGTGCGACAGCAAACTTTAAAGTTACATAAACAGGCAAAAAAGATACATGATCAAGACACATTGTTAGCCGAGGTGCGAAAGCATCTCGAGGAATGGGAGCAGAAAATGGTAGATTTGACTACCGAAGTGAGTCGTGCACGGGAAGGAACTCAGAATCCCGATTCGTTAGAAAATCGCAAACGGAAAACACATATTATCAACACCGATGCCGAGCCACTTCAGCAGACGAATGAATTGCAAGCCAAGAAACGCAAGCTCATTGTAGAAAGAAAAACGTCAAGCGATGCGAAAGACGTAAAGTTCAAACAATTTATGTCGAATTTACTTTCGAAGTCTACATTAGATGGTTATCTCATCGATTCATCATGCCCGCGCTAATTTGGCCCATTTTACAATGATAGTTCAAGTGTGAAGGTTTTTGCAGAATTATTATACTCTTTATAAAATGCATTTTTTAATTGTTGTGGCGAAATAGATATAATGATTATAACGTACACTCGGTACATTTAAATTTTAACTTGTTAAAAGTAATACTTGTAAGCAAGTTTAAGCGTTAATTTTGTTTATAAAATTGCTTCTTGTCCAGTTATAGGAAACAATATATGAACTAATTTTTTGTTGGGTTATTAGTACTTTACTTCAAATTCCTGTGTATCCGGGATATGTACATATATATATATCGAGTATTCCATGTTAAGTGAGCCACTCTTTTTTGTCAGGAAGAATATTTTTTATTTTGACGTAATAGGATGATTCTTGACATGGAATGTTTAATATATAGATATTTTGTTAATATATACGTATATATGTATATATATGTATTAACAAAACATTAAAAAAATGTCTTTTTTTCAGATAAATGCCAATGTAAAATTGATTAAAAATATAATTTTGTTGTGCATTTATTAAGAAATTGAAAAAGAATAAGGACAATAAACTATGTTGTAATAACATTAATGCACATTTTATTAAAATATTTTAATAAAATATTTTAATAAAATGTACTTTAATT